CCTTTTTGTCAAATGAGACTATTATTTATATGCTACATGTAAAGCATTATTACTTTTATAATTATTATTTCATAAAATTCAATGTGTAAAATAATTTCTAATTTCACTGATTTAATCAGTTTTATTTAGATATCAAATTGTATTTAAACTATTGTTATGTAGTTGCAGTAGTAAGCTATTGTAATTGTACGGAGCAGAAAAACAGTTTTCCAATTACACGAATGAAATATATATGATGAAGTTTCAAAATAATATTGCTTGGCTTACATAAAATTGTTCTTATAGTTTAGAATTTTTCATTAAAAATTTTTGTCGTATGTTAGTATTTTCATCCTCCTATATAATATTCATAACTAATACATATAGCCAACAGACATTAATCATTTTTTTAATATAAACATTTTAAAGTGAACTATAAATATAAAATATTTGTAATAGATATAATTTCTTAAAAATATAATATTAAGTTTGGATACTATTTGAAATATTTCTCCATAATTTTTGTCCATATATATTCTATCTTTTATATAAATATTTCATAGGGAATTCAATTAATCAAGTAATATACTACTTATAGCCAATCAAACTTATATTCAGTTATCTCAATTATGTATTTTAATACTGAAACATGATTAAAAATTATTATTATTCTATTATTATTTATTTTTATTATAATACAATTTATTTTTACTAGAAAATTGAATTATTGTGTAGTCTAAAAATTATTTAATATATTTATTATGTATTTTAAATAATTAAAAATTTCATAAAGATTAACTAAGGCAATCATGTATTAGTAGAAAATATATTTAGAAATATTATTTCTAATGCTATGCTTATTTATAAAAAAAAATTAAATTGCTTCACACAGTAAAGCCTAGAAATTAATATTTTTTTATATCCACATTGAATTTCGCCACTATGCATCTATTGATATTTTACCCAAACCCGAAAAATCTCTGCAATTATTGTACATATACATATGGAATCGTTTTATTTATCTCAATTCACTTGAATCAATGATTTCAATTGATAATATATATTAAATTATTTAAGTGACACAAAGTAGCATGTAGAAAATTAATATTTATAGAGAATGGCCTCGCTATTGAATTCGCATTATTTCTATACGCACCAACAATTACAGATTCATAAGAATTGGTGAAACACTCACCGACCGAAATTTGGCATTTGTTACTAAAAACAAAATATGCTATAAATATATATAAATAAAAGGGCAAAGTAGGACTATTTTCTTAAAAAATACATTTCAGCTATTCGTATAATACAGTACATAACAAAACGCTTTTATTAAAAAGGTTTATAATGAAACAAAAATACGAATGTAATGGATAAATACAATAATTAAAATTAATCACTTTTATAGGAAACATTACAGTCATACTTTTTTAATTAAATATCGTATAAAATCATAATTATAATAAAAGAGCAAAAATAATATTACATTACCAAAATATATTATTTAAAAAAAATGTATGCATATTTTTTAAATATTAAATGTAAATTTTTACAAATGTAATTTTAATAAAATTAAAAGTATGTAAATAATTTTTTTAAATTTAATTTTTCAGTAATTAATTCTTAATGCGATATAGTTATTAATAAATAATTAATTTTCTTTTTTTTAAAGTAAATCAATTCATATTCAACTAAAATAAGTATTCTCAATTTTTTTAAAAAACAGAGCTTGTCGATGAAATTTGTTATCTTTTTTAAAAATATATAACAAAAATGATATGTAATAATAAAATTTAATACTAACATTGACTAATATAAATATTTTTAATCGGTGTTTTTAATTTTTCGATTTATTTTCCAATTAGTTAAAACATAAAATATCTAATTAGCTTATTATTCAAAGGATAAATGTTTAGCAGTTTGTACAAACTATATTTTACTAATAATGCATTGTATTGTTATTCATTTATAACATGCACTGCAATTTTTTTAAAATTTGTGTCATGAATTTACTCGTGTCACCTCTCGATTTCACACGGTAAACTAAATGAATAAAAAGAGGAACAATGTTGAGTCGGGAGGAGTAAAATGAAAAAGAGTGACAACGAAATAGGCAAAAAGAGAAGAGACCCATGGGAAGTTCCAGAGCCGTTAACCGTTCACGCCCATATCTATAGTATAATAATTATTTCAGTTTTACACGTCCCGAGGGAGTGGCGGACACATTACGCTCATCTATCACGAGTTACTATACAGACGAAAGATATTTGCTATCTCAGTTCCACTTTTATCCCTTCTCTCTTTTTCTCTTAAACTCCATACGTCAAGTAAAAAGGTAGTTGAGTCAACGCATTCGCTTTATATAGAAATGTCATAAAGTATTTCCATTGTTTACCTTAAAATTCTACGGCCTTATCTTATAATTCAACAATATCGACTTCGTACTTTCATTATAAATTTTTAAAATATTTCGTAATGATGATATTAGCGAAATATTTGTCTATGTTTGTTAATAGAAAATCTAAAATATAATAAATTTTAGTAGATATTCTAAGTAAGACAAATATTAAATGAAGAGGTTGCAAAAACTTAGATAAATATAAATTGACAAATTCTTAAACTTATACTTAATTTTTTAAGGCTACAGTAAAGCAAAATGACCACTGTGCTATCATTAAGCATTTATCAGAAAATGTAGTAAAACAGCCTAATGATTTTCACATTTTAAAATTATACTTACTCTACAGTGAGCTTGATAATAAAAATAATAATAATAGTAACGTATGATTGAAATATTATACATTAATTATTATAAATTATAGTTTAATATACAAAAACATGTAAATTTGTTCTCAATCTATTGTTTTACTATTATATATTTGTTAGATATATTGTGCTACAATTCATATATTGTTGTATGCATGGCTATAATCATGGTGATTTCACTAACAGGTATAAAAATTAGTACTTCTATTTGGAATAACATATCATTTATTATTATATATTAAAGTGAACAATATATAAGTAACAATGAGAAATATAAAGCTAGAATAAACTATTAAAAATATATTTAAACGTATAATTTAAGGAAAACTTAATTCATAAAAACTTGAAATATATAAATATTTTATATATAATTAAAAATTTTTTTTCTAAATTTTATTATTTTATAAAAATTACATAAACAAAAAAAATATATATATATATATTGACAAAAAAAAAATTATTGTATGATGTTAATAAAAAATTTGGTAAATTTTATTATAATTAATATTATTTTACCAAATAGCTAAAATAAAATTAATTATTTTCAGCCAATTAATAATTAAGCCTTTATTAATTCCTAATAATGCACTAATCTTCCTCCAATATAAACCGATAAATATATATCCAAAATGCACCATTAATTACAATCAATCTAATGACCTTCTATCATCTTGATAATCAATATATTAAGAATAGTCAATTAATATTGTTTATATTTTGCTTTGTTATATTTTATAAGTAAGGTCAAATTTTACAAATACTTAAATATTATTTATACCTAAATTATTTATTATTATTTTTAATATAAAAATGACTTAAGCAAATAAACAATTTACAAGAACAATGAAAAAACTAAAATAATGATCATAATTATTTTTTTATATTTCATAAATTTTTTTCAATGTATTATAATATTTATACAATGGAGTTTCATTTCTAGTGATCATCGAATTCTTTAAATAATTCATGTTATAGTTTAAGGAAATATTTATAAAATTCAGTTTCTCTTACAACTTTGATATTTTACATACAACTTTATTAGCACAACTTAATAAATGTTATAAAATAATTTGATCAGTATTAAATTTATTATAATATTAATATTTCTATTTTTTTAGTTTACATGTTTTTATATGGATCTAAATGTCAAGTAATCAGAAAAAAATATTATACATTTTTTTATAAATTGTGCTTACATATATAATCTTGCCATATTTTCAATTTCTTATTTTATTTATCAGTTTTATTTTATAATATATGTATATATAATTCATATATATATATATATATATATAAATAAAAATTATTTTTATGTAAAGCATTTACAATGTCAAAAATTTTCAACTTATTTCTTTATTAATTTATAAGCTTATAGACTTTATAATTCTAAAGTTTAAAGAAATTTAAAATTTAATACTTATAACTCGAGAATTGAATTGAAATCGCAAACGAAGCTTTCTGAAGATTAGTTTTACAGATTTGTTGACGCATATTTCAGGGAATTGACAAATTTACTTAAAATTCTGAACTATGCTTCACACTACTATAGATTTCAAAGTCCGAAAAAGATTCAAAACTTTTCAGAACAACTGAACAACTTACCAGCGACAAAGTTATATATTTCAAAAAGCATTTTCAGCAGCATTTGAAAAGAACTTTTGTATTTCAAAAATAAAATGATTTATTGTTTGAATATATATATATATATATATATATATATATATGTTTGTGTGTGTAATTTAAAAAACCTTTTTCTTTTGCTTGAAGTAAAATTATATTCTTACTAAATGTTCTATAAGAATAAATCTGTATTTTATTTATAGTCGATATATTAACACAATATCCGAAAATCTAAAAGTTGTAAATTACTTGATATGTTACATTTTATGATATATTTTGTAAATGATTAACATTATAAGAAAAAGAAAATTTTAAACAAAAGTTTGATTTCTAATAATTTAAACTGTCATTTATTTTATTTTATATCTAATACTACTAGTCACAAATACATAAAGTAATTTATTACTATTATTGTCTTGATACAATACTAAAAATAAATATTTTTCAAAAATAATCTTAGTTACCATAATCGATCTATTATAAAACAGACTAGAAGAATAATTCAATTCACAGATGTTATTAAGTAATACAGGATTATTTAGTTTAAATTATAACCAAGATATTTTTTGTTTAAATAAAAGTTAAATAAATTAAATTGTATTATTCGATATGTTCTATATAAATATATTCAATTTTTTTTAGGTGGTACGGTAAGTGGGCTACGAAACTTTCGTACTGATTTTTTAGAAGAATGGCCTACACCAGGTACAGGTCCACACTTTGATACGACCATGAGCTCAAACTTCACAGGATTAGTAGGAAAGACTGTGCAACTAGTATGCAAAGTAAAAAACTTGGGAAATCGAACAGTAAGTTACTTATGAATAATTTTACAACCTTATTATAAAGTTCATGCATATATTGGAATTCATTAAGAACTATAACCAGATTTTTTAACAGTATAATTCATATAAAAAAAAGGTCATAAAGGGATTCAAATTTCAACGTTTTATCACAATTGACCTTTACTTATATATCATGTTGAAATGATAATGAATGAAGATTCATCAAATTTGGTTTTCATCTATCTGTAGACTTTCTTTCTTACTTGCTTTGTAAGGCAATTCCAAGGGGAGTTCATTTGAGGAGCGCGATACAGGACACATGTGCTACAACATCAAATATAACTTAGGTTCCTTTGCTCGCTCCCTTATATTCCATGCTATTTTCTTTTTAAAAATATGAGAGAAAAAGTAATACTTATGAAAGCAGAATTTTAATAATTTCCTATTACTTGAAAAACCTTGAATAATTAAATTTCTTGAGAAATATAACTTACTTAAAAATACCTAAAAATAACTATGAAATTACTATTAAAAATCGAAGTCTCTATATATAAATGAGTAATACTATTAACAATAATATTATACAAGTATTACAATTTTCGTTAATACTAATTAAAAGAAGGCTAATTAATAATTAGGACATGAAGGGAAATACGAAATTAGCAATAGAAATAGAATTACGGGTCTTACAATTAGAATTTTGACAAAAAGATAAGCATAAGAGGATGCATTGCAAGTATGAACACGTCCGAAAGGAATGAAGAAATAATAAGTTTGAAGAAAAAATTATGGAGATAATTAAAACGTAAATATCAGAAGTAAAATTAAACCAGGGTCGGAACTCATAATTAAAGTAAATGAATAAAAGTATAGTATTTTTTGTAAATAGTATTCGTTAATTTAGTAAGATTACATTTTATTATATTATTCCAAAACAATATGAGCCATAAATATTTTCACAAATATTATTTTTAATTAGACTTTCATTCAATCAACTTAAATCTATTATGAAATTGCAGTTTGTGATAAATTGTTTCGAATATAAAATAATATTTATAAAAAATGAATAACTTGACATATGTATTATTATAAAGATTCTCCGGATAATCTCATACAAAATTCAGAAGATTTTTCAAATATTTTCTTCTTCATAATATAACCGAATATTAAGAACAAGTATGTTGAATATTTAAATATAAACATTGATATTTATGATTTTACAATCTTTTTCTTCTTTTTTTTTTATTATGGGATGTTTTTCAATCTGCGATATAACATATAAATGAGTTTAATTAGTTAACATAAAACATGTAGTTTTCAATTCATTAAATTTATAGAAAAAAAAAAGAACGTTTGTTATACTATAGTTGCATTTTTGTTTTTTATTATGTCACAAATATCGACTTTTAATAATTTGTTTCGATACATCCAAATTGAAACATTCATTTGAATGTTTTTTTCAGTTGCGTTAATTTACTTTCTTACATACCTATTAAGATAAATCGCTATGAGTACACAAATTTTCATTAATAATTAAAGCTATTAAGAAAATATAATTTAGTAATGGATGAAGAAGATTAACTATGAAAGTTACTAAGAATAATAATGTAAATTAAAATATTTTTCATAGCTATTTACAACTTACATTATTTATTAACTTTTAATTATTTTCTAAATGTTTAAAATTTATTAATTACAGCTTAACAATTGTTCTAAGTTTGTTGATAATTCATTCATTGTCAATTTTTCATTTCATAATTGTAGAATCTTAGCTATTAACTACAATAAAAGTATTTAACCAGCCAATAACATTATAAGATTTAATAGTAGAAATTTTGAAGCTATTAAGAGTTTCAAAAGTTATTTTAAATATATGCACTGTACGGAATACATTTACAAAAAAAAAAAAAAAATAATACCGTACATTAAGCATTTTTATTTGCACATATTCTTTTCTTCATCTGCCTCTCACCCCTTCTTCAACTCTGTCTCTTTTACTATCTTTATAAAGTGAACTACGTATATTAATGCTTGTGCAGGTTACAAGTAATTGTAACTACTATTAATGATTCATTTCAACATTTCACATTCAATCATTCACAACATCGTGAATAATCGTGAATAAGTTGGTAATTATTATATTTCCATGTTTTATAATAAGATTCATTATATATATCTTATATGCCATAATATGTCATAATATCATAATATATAGAAAATTTCCTTTAATTAAGTAAGAATCATTAGGGATTTTTACATAATAATTATTTTGTGTTTGAATTGATAGCTTGCCTTTCTCAATTACGCTCTGTCTTTATATCTCACTCTCTTTCGCTATTCTATTTTTTGATGTCTCAATTATTGACTTATGACTTTGCGACGTATTAAACGAATTCATATGTGTTCTTCAATGGGCCCCATATTAACTATCGTAAGAAGATCAAAGAAAAAATCAGTTATTTATTCATAAAGTTAAATTTAAATGGTGAAGATGAATATTCAATCACTATTTATTATACTATCCAATATACTTACTTAACTCAAATTTATATCTTATTAGTACGATTGTTATAGATCAGTACATACCAAGTATAATTTATTTATTATTCTATATTAAAAATTACAAAAAAAAAATATTAAAATTAAAATGATTTTATATATGTGTGTGTGTGTGTGTGTGTGTGTGTATGTCATGTATGTGTGTGTATTAACAATGTTTTAAAGATATAATCTACAATATAATTATTTATTAATCTAAAAAAACTATTTCCAACTAAAGTTAAAGGATAAAATTAATTCAGCCAATTGAATTGTGATAGAATATTTTTACAAACAAAATTATAAATATTGTATGATATAATTATACTTACCAAATTAAAATATTTTATATAATATTTTAAATATAATGAAATTTAAATGCATTAAGAATATACGAATACATTACATAGTTCTATTATTATTATATTCATTTATTATAATAGATGCTTTTAAGTCAGAATAAAAATTTAATTTAATATTTCAAAATGATTTCTGAGTAAATAATATTTATGGTTTAATTCTTAAAGTAAATATATTAGTCAAACAAACTAAAATAAAGTTAACTCAATGGAACGAACTCTGGGAAATTTTCTGAACGAAATTATCTTTGAACAAGTTACTTCAACGAACTACGTTAATTTAACTAAACTTAGCTAATCCAACTAAGAATTTTTCAATCCCTCTAAAAAGAGAACAAAACCTGCATTCCCTGTACGCACGTAACTACACATTGATTGAAGCTTACTTTGCTTATAGTTTTATAATTATATATTTGTAATTATATTATTTTATTACGTAGTTATACCATTAGAATTTATATTTTACATAAATATATTATTACCACTATATGTAAATAAAAAATTTTACTGTATATTTATGGATAATTTTTATATAAATTTATGACGTATTCAGGTAATAATAAAAATTTTTAATATTAATTCAGTGGACGGTAAACAAAATTTTATTACTTTCCAATAAAACAGATGATTATATTTCATTTCGTAAATTGACTTTATTGTAAATGGTCAATAAGAATAATACTTTAATGTCTGGAAATTCCATACATTCATGTAAATATGCTTGCTTCGAATAAATAAAATAAGAACACTGAAGACCAATTACTTAAAAATAACAATCGCAATTAATTTAATGATGATTACAACTGATTGCATTCAATAAATATTAATAATATTTACAATCTTTCAGTAATAGATAGATATTTTATTCTAATTATAGTTATTTATAAATAAAATAACTCTATTTCTTAGTATTTATATTTATAAATAACAATAATAATTGATCATTTAACATAGAATATTAAATTATTTTTATTTTACGAAGTTGATTTTTTCATTTTAATCATTGAATTAAATTTCATTAAATTATTCATATAAAATTCATTAGAAACTATATTTACTATTAATTTCTAATATTTCATGAAATTCCTTAATATTTAAAATATTCTTGGTACTATTTTCCATTCTGAACCTAAACATTTTATTAACTGCATGTTATTAGTAATTAATAAAAAAAATTCAATTTAATAAAAATATATTTTTAATATATTTTTAATATATTTTTATATATTATTAATATATTTTTATTAAATTTAATTATTAATTTTTTATATGTTAATAATGCAATTTTATGTTAGATAAAACGAAATTTATCAAAATTTATTTATTAAATATTTCATTTATTATATACAGAAAATATGAGAATATCATTCTATCACTTTATCTATAATATATTGAAATTTTATAATGATAAGTTTTATCAAATCTAATGAAGATCAAAATTTTCAACAATCATCATAATTTAAAACAATATATAATAGAACGGAATGTACAATCAAGTTTTATTCTTTTATTGTAAAGAATTTGATTGTAATTTTACTATTTATTTATATAATAAAAAAGCATACAATAGTATTCAAATTTACTTAATATTGAGAGATAAAAGTTTATATTTAAATATTGAGTTTTTATCTCATCTTTTTACTAAGTAACACGTATTAATAACTTGAGTAAAAACTTATCCTTTCGCTTTTATTGTTTTCTCTGCGTACAACAGCTATGCATAAACAGAATCTGTAACAGTCATAGAATTCAAGTTGACTATCAAGTTGTTTTATAATAAGTGTATGTCTTAATAATCAGCAAGGAAAAGAAATTAGACAGAATAATAGTTATATTTTTATTGGAAAGTTTATTTTAATTATAAGCGGAAAATATATTTAATTAATATTAATTATATTTTATAACCTACTTTAGATCATGTAAGCAATGTAATAATGGAATTTTTTTCAAAATAGATTTTATTTAAAAATAATATTTAACAGATCATTATACTTCATGAACTCTACAAAAAATCTACTTAATTTATAATAATGATTATAAAAATTTAATAGTATTCATATATGTGTAATGATAATATTCGTAAATTATGAATATACTATATTGAATGCGTATTTGAGCTCGAGCAGCACAGTTGTGTATATTGCATGGTATGTTAGTATTTGCTTATATTTAATGAATTTTAACGCGAATTTAGAATAAATGTATTTGCGTAAAGAAGATTGATGAAATGCTTTAGTTTTGTGGAGATATATATTCACGAAGATAGTAGTTGGTAGTTTGAAATTGATGTAATGAACATATACAAGTGCAGTTGGAGGTGGCACGCGACTAATGTAGTTAGCTATCTGAATATCTATAAAATCTAGAAACGAACGAGTAACATATAGGAATATATATAAACTTTAGATTACTGTATGTAAAAGTATATTATAAATTGTAACATAGTTATAAGTTTACATTATGTAGAAATTAAAATTTTGAAACTACCATAAATGTAGAAAATTTTAGTTTTAAAATTATATTGAATTAATTATAAAAAATAACATTGTTTATGGTCATTATAGATTTAAAAAAAATGAAAATATAGTTGCTCGATAAAAAATATAAAATTTTACGAAATTTTATAAGAATATTATAAATAACCAAGTATTGAAAAAAAAATATCTCCATATTGATATTTTTTAATAAGTGAAACTAAATATTCATTTTATATCTTCGTAGAGTACATATATTGAAAAAACAAATACATATATAAATAAGTATATATTTCATTTATATTGAGTTTTATTTATTATAAAATACCAAAATGCCAAATATTAATTTTTTGTTTAAATAACTGATAAAAATATATTTATTGTTTTTACAACAGGTTTCGTATAATTGTACAAATGAATAAAGCAAGTAATATTAAAAATAATTTAAAATTAGTTTAGTCTATGATTCAATATCAATGAATCTTATTTTAGAAATTTATTTATATTCAACATAATATAAAATCTACAATTCTTCGTATTATATTAATTAATATTTAATTTAATTAACTTTCTAATTACCTAAACGAAGTCTATATAATTATAATCACTATATTAATACTTTATTTATAGCAAGTTATCTATTAAATTAAGTTTATATATATATATATAAACATATATATATGTGTGTGTGTGCGCGCGTGTATATATATATTATATATATATAATATATAATAATATTTATTTTACTGACAGTAAATTAAAATTTTAAAATTAAATTATTTATCAACAATCATTAAATTATATTAATAATGATTATAAGTTTTGTCATGCATAAACCGCATACATACGTATACATTTGTATCGAATATATTCTTTGTTACGTGAACATTTTTGTTTTTCAATAAAAAAAATTATCACACAAGTTATAATATTTGGAAAATTTAGTGGCAAACTATAGCTAGAAATAAATAATCAATAAAGATATGATTATGTAGCCTTCTCCTTTCTTGTAGGTTTCCTGGGTAAGACACCGAGATATCCACTTGTTGACAGTTGGTAGATATACTTACACAAGCGATCAACGCTTTGAAGCATTACACTCGCCGCACACTGAAGAGTGGTCATTGAAGATTCGATATCCTCAACGTAAGGACTCAGGGATCTACGAATGTCAGATATCTACTACTCCGCCAATTGGTCATCCAGTTTACTTAACAATAGTTGGTAAGCAATTATTTATATAACTATGTTTAAATATTTTATGATACATTCTTTGCTTTTCTTGCTATTATTACTTATTAACGATTTGCAATATATTGCACACAAAAAAATTATAAAGAATTATAAATCAATGAAGCACGTGTACATATTCTTTTATTTTTAGCGATTATTATGCATGAAAACAATGTTATTTGTATTTATATTAAATAAGAGTCACTTAATATGTGTAGCGAATTTTAAATATATTTTTACACTTTTGACAGCCTTATCTAGATTAAAAAATAGCAACTATTTAAATGTGTTTTAACATGTCATCACATCTAAAATAAGTAAAATAATAAATATTTTTAGTAATAAATATGAAATAGATTTCACAAATATATTTTTTAATCCAATACCGTCACTTATTTTACTTTTGAAAAATTAAATTCACGAATTTCCTAATTATGAAAACACAATTATAATTACAACATAATTATAACATTAAAAATATCTTGACATAAAAATTAATGGTGTGATTGTTATTTTAGCAAATTTAAATAAAAATTTCGTTAGCCAATACATTTTTCGTGAAAATAAAATTGATCTTTATTAAAAGCTTTTAAAGTTAATATGGAGCTACGCAAAATATTTATTTCCATCGATTTGATAATTATTCACATGATTTCGTTGATTTCTACTCCTTAAATAATTATACTTTAAAATTAACTTTATAATATTATAATAGTTATTAAAAATTAGGATTGTCATTTATAAATAACAAATTAATATTGATAATAAATTATTTGTACATAATTTTAAAAATCGGCACAAAAAATTGAAAAGAATTAAATGAATTTTATAAAATAATTTTGTTCATCAAAGTAACGATTAAATATTATTATTTTTTATTTCTCCTCGTTGCCACGAATTACGTGCATGAAATATTTGTTGTACATACAGTTATACATATATTTTTAATTAAAAATTTCTTCTCCATTTCATTTGGATAATATTTTTTTAAATAAAAATATATTTTCGTTTTTAGCAATAGCTTACGGCGTTTATAATAGTTAATACTCACAGTATTTATGTTCTAATATATTCTTTGTTGTATAAAAAAACGTGTAGATCAAAAAAGTTATTTTAGAAAAGTAAATACGCAAGAAGCTCGAACAGTATCTGAAGTTTATAATAAATCAGGCAGTTGCTGCATTCGCAACAGAATAATAGCTTTAAAAATAAATCTCGATTCCTGTATTCTGTAAAACTAAAGCGTTTGAAAAAAACTATACGTTGCATAAAGATATATATCGGAAACTGACTTGTACTCGTACGTGCACGAAGAATGAGAAAGATGAATAGAGACAAGTAAAATGGAATCTTGCACGATTTATCTTGAAAGTGCGGTTGTTAAAAGCCCTCGGAATTTCACCTTTCGAGTCTGATATTATATGCATACAAACGTGCTTACGCTGTCCTATAACATCATTTATCCTTCACTGAATTAAACAAATATCGCGTATATTTAAACAACTAGTAATAAATGCCGAAATGTTACGTATATTATTTAGGTGCGAAGGAAATCATAACGTCATAATCAAAAGTTGACATTCCCACTTGTTCCTATTCAGTAGTAAAAAAATTTTTTAATTAAAATTCTAATTCAACATTTCTTTCACTTACCATACTACCATAATAAAAATAATTAATGACGATAAGTGTAATTAATTGTCTTATTAAGTAAAATAACTTTCATTTGCACATTCCCAAATTGATTCAATAAATCAAATCAACATTATTCATATGATCTTTAATATTACAGAGCCGGAAACCATAATAGTTGGAGCGCCGGATCTTTTTGTTAATAAAGGTAGTACCATCAACTTGACCTGTCTCGTCAGGTACGCTCCAGAACCTCCGCCAAAAATGACGTGGAGTCATAACGCGGAAGTAAGTACTTTCCTCCTTATTACCTTTAATTCTTCGAAAAGTTAAGAAAACGGTTACGTAACATAAAATGTTGATTCTTTTGAAAAACAGTAATAAGCAGTAGTAATGATATTATTCTAATTCGAATTTCAATTTTGTCGTAGAACTTATAATATTTAAAACTTGTCAGACAATCGTTTAAAAAACTTACATATAAATCATTATATATTTAATTGTATATCATAAATTTATTATAAACTTATTTTTCTAATATAACTATGTTAGCATTATGACTTTTTAATATGATTCACTTTAAAAATCTTATAATACTCTTTATTAAATATATTAGATTTTCTTATAAGAAGTCATTTTTTATGAAGAATTTACTTAAATGTGGAAAAATTTACAATTGTTATACATCATAGGAACCCGATACACTAACACATTTCTTTACCTCAACACTTAAAAATGAAATTTATATAATAATGTTTGTAATTACTTATATGTAATACTGATCTTTCAATTAAACTTCATAAAATTTGAAATTATAATATATTTTTTTTTTTGATAATAATGTTATGACTAACCATTTAAAGCAAAAACTATAATAATATCATCATGAATACGTGGATGACTACTTATAAACTATTTTTATAAATTTATACTATTAATTTATGAATTCTAGAAAATCAGTTTTATCAAATTGATTAAGTAAATATAATTATGTATTCTTCAATTACATTTTACTTTTAGAACTTTAATTTCATACTAAGTATTAGAATAGAAAATTGAGCACTTAAATCTTGAGCGTCTAGACAAAAATTAGAATATCTTTCATTGAATTTATAACGTATTATAATTATATAGGCATCTATTTAATAATTACTAAAAAATCAATTTTGATGCATATTCAATTTGCGTATATTCCGTACTTGAAACGTTAAGAGATTTACTAAACTATGTAAGCCCGTTGTGAATGAAAAGAAAAAACGAAAAGAAAAACGTTAAATAATAGAGAAGAAAATGTTTAAGAAATGCAAATTATAAAGCAAAGGATGTTATTTAAATTACTTTGTAGAGAAGAGAACAAAAAACAAAAATAAAATAAAATATATAGTATTCAATGAAACATTGATATGAAAAGCTTTCGTACATCAAAAAAAAAAAAAAAAAAAAATTGTAATGATTAATATATAATTGTTGATATATTTTCTAAACTCTGTGATCGAAGTGTTAAAAAGTTTCTCGAAATATTATATTTTCAAAATATTGTTACCTACAACTATTCAAACGAATTTGTTTTTATATCTAATTTATTAATTAAAATTTGAATTTAATATATTATATTAATTTTAGAATTGAGTGTTGATTATTGAGTGAATAGCCGAGTGTCCATAGAAATTATGACTATAAACTTTCAAGTAGAATGAAATATGCAAAATATTTATTTATGAATATTTCTACTTCAATGAATTATTACAATTATTATGATGTTTACCGATCATATACATCCTCGATAAACATCATAATAATTGTAATAATTCATTGAAGTAGAAATATTCATAAATAAATATTTTGCATATTTCATTCTACTTGAAAGTTTATAGTCATAATTTCTATGGACACTCGGCTATTCACTCAATAATCAACACTCAATTCTAAAATTAATATAATAGTATTTCATGAACAGTTTAATTATAATTCTGCACTATAATTGTCCGTCTATTATAGATATATTAAATTCAAATTTTAATTAATAAATTAGATATAAAAACAAATTCGTTTGAATAGTTGTAGGTAACAATATTTTGAAAATATAATATTTCGAGAAACTTTTTAACACTTCGATCACAGAGTTTAGAAAATATATCAACAATTATATATTAATCATTACAATTTTTGAAAAATAATATGTAAGTTTAACAGTATTTTAGGTAATAAATAAAATGACAATGACAGTGTACATAAAGATATCAGATAATCTAGTATACTTTAAAATTCTTTTTATATCTTCAATTTGATCCATAAAATAAATCTATATCTTAAATTTCAATAATAGATTAAAATTATTTTGTAAATATTTATAAATGTTTAAAAATATTTCATAATTAACCAATGTAATCCATTGATAATCAATATAACTTACATGGAAGGTATCGAATATATATACAAAATTATTGAAATAATACAATAAATAGTGTACATATAATGCGAGAGTCGTCAATATATAAACTCGTACGTAGAGCTTACAATTATATTTTATTAATAATAATTTAATATATGATTTTCCTTATTTTGAAAATTTGATTCTTAATTGTTATTGTTTAGTTAATAGACAAATAATAAAACATTTTTAAAGATTATAGCAAATGTGCCACAATGCAGTAAATTTAACCTTAAAGGTTTCGCTGCATTGTCTGAAATGTCAAATAGTGAAACTATAAGAGCATATATGCCCAATACATATAATATAAGAATTTTTATTTTGATTATACTTTAATGTCAGCGGAAGATAAAATATGGATTTATTTATAACCATACTATATCAACATAAATTAATTATTAACTTCATATCTGATAACTGGTTTAGTTCCTTTCTTCGTTGACATCTATTGTTGGCTTATTATATCACAAATTATTAATTATATCTAAATTAATTAATTGATAAAAGTTAATTAGCAAATCATTTGCAAATTGTAATCTTAATAGAAATAACTAAATTCTTGACATATTTAAAATAATAGCCAAAATTTTATTATACATATACATATACATATATATATATATATATATATATATATATATATATATATATATATAATACTTTGATATATGATAATTTTACATCTATAATGTAAATAAAGCGATAAGATAATTGATAGAGAAAAAAAAAAAAATATATATATATATATGACATCAAAATATAAAATATGAGGATAGCACGCAAAGGTATTGATTGAAATGTCATAGATGTACAAATAATATCCAGGCTAGTATTCAAAATGTGAAAATCGTATCGAAGATCGACTGGACGTAATAACCTTGATTTGAATATAGGAATTACAAAAAAAAAAAAAAAAAAAAAAAAAAAAAAAAAAAAGATACATATCCAAGCGTAGTAGTTTACCTAAAATCAATATAATTAAAAGTATGATTCTGAATAAATGATATGAAAAATATAGTTTCTAACACTTGTCGTGAAAAATATAGAACTCGTATAAAAAATTATCTATAGATAATATAGTAAAATAGGTTGGCCAAGTATTAAAATAAAATATTTAACACGTTAAACAGCCGCTAGGCTAAAAAAAACGATAATATCGAGACGTATAAAGATCAAAGATATGCTAGTTGGAAGAAAAATAATGATAATAAATACGGAGTTGATGTATACCGAATATGTGAAAAAATAACGACAATATCAAAGTAAAAAGCCAATCGGAGAGTGAAATCAGAATTAAAAAGTAGGAACGAAGTTTAACTAGACTAAGCGTAATACATATATTGTTAAGTTTCTGTACTTATTATAAGTTTCTTCTCATTATACTAAAAGAAAAAGCTTGAATTTACAGTAAGTTTTATAGGTCTTAAGTGTTGTGAATAATTTCGAATTAAATTTTCGAATACTTTCACTGAACGTTCGTCCAATTTTAACTTCCTTGTTTTTATACTGGGCTTTTCAATTTAATTATATAATCTCCGTAAGAAACCTCATTTTAAATACAAATATCCATGGAATGAGAAAATTTATAATACAATCAATGATTATTGCTCTAACAATTGTATTTTAAAGCAGGTTTCTAATTCTCCAAAAGACTAAATAACTCCGACATGACTCGTTAATTCAATTCATTGTAGTCCCATTTTTAGTATCTTTAAAACTTTTCCTGATTTTTAACAGGTTTTCTCATATTACTATTTTTATCAAATTATAAAGATTATAAGAATAAATTTTGTTAAATTTTTCAAATGATGATTTCAATCATTTGAGTTATAATTATTTAAGTTATATAAATTTTGTGGGTTAATAAACAGTATATTCAATTAGATGAAGATTTTAAAATGGCCGACAATGAAAAGGAATTTAAGAAAATTACTGCTATTTCGGTAGATGAAATTATTAAAACGATTAGGTATATCCACACTAAACTATAACGCATATTACAAATGCAATTTATTGATAATTTAATAATAAATAAAATATTATTTATATATTTTCTTGTTGCTTTAATTTTATTTTTATTTATATAGTTTATTTGATATTTTTTATAATGTAAAAGATACAAGAATAAATATTCTTAGAATATTTTAATATTAATTATTGAAATTATAAATTTTTAAGAAACAAACTTTGACTAAAATTGAGATCTTTTCTTAAACTCTAAAACAAATTATATATATATATATAATTATTTTTGTTTTTGTGTATCTCTATGTGTATGAAATATAAACTTTTGAAATTATAAATTTAAATTGGAACTACTCTAAACATATTAGTCTTATCAAATAATGTGTTTAGATTTATTTATAATTATTTACGTCAATTACTGAAAATCAATAATTAGTATGGAAACCGGTGTTAATATTCTACGTTATCTTGAAATATTTATTATAAAATAATAATTTTCCATTACATCAGTACATCAGTACAAGCAATACTGTACTTTATAGTTCTGTATTAGAAATAATTATGTGGTTAACATTAAAATTTCGAAATGACAAATATGATTTTCTAAATAAGCACAACTTCCAACATATGTACATTTTCTAAATAATAGATTAGTTATCATTATATTCACATATTAGTAATAACTATTAAGTTATTATGCGGTAATGAAAATGCTATAAAAAAAAAATCGCTAATTAGTACTAACCCATCTTACCAAAGAGAGATCGAAAATTACTGATTCTTTTCAGAAATCAAGATTTTATATTTACCCTAATTATATTCGGAATCATAAATCGATGTATTATTAAATATTAAACATTTAGTATTGTCAAGAATTTTTTATAACTAATTTATTAATTACCATTTCGATAGTTGTGTAATGTAGATAGTAGTCATAATAAATTGAAACCTTTTTTATTTTTCGATATTAGTAAGATATTTGTGAATGTAAATGTTACATACAATACATTTTTAACGAATATTTATACTTTTAATAACAAAATTTACTCAACAAGTACATATGCACCAAGCTATTGCTGAATACAGCTATTGATATATCTACGTATTATTGTATAAAATAATATATATGTGAATTGTTTTCAACTTTATTATTACAATCTAAATTTAGTTTTATATTTATTTTACTTCATTGGATCTATTACAATATCCTAAACTATTATATCTAGTAACATTTTACCGAAATTTATTACCATATTATAAGATAGATGTCAATATTTTTTATGCTTATATTAAAATTTGTATAATTGGCCATTAATCGTAAAATCGGTAATTTAATCCCATTCGTACTGTGGTGAAGTTTATAAAAACTAGATTTAAATAATCTACCGTATAATATAATTTATTAAATGTAAATTTATATTTTATATGAAGATATTCTTTATTTATAAATGATAATTGATAAAGATCAAGATTTGTTTCTTTTTTAATTATTATATTTATTAGTTAACGAACGGACCAACTAGTAGTAATGCTGCATAAGTCGAAAGTGCATTTGTAATTGAATACAAATTTTTTATACGAAGAAATTTTATCACACTTTTTTTATGTATTGAATATATTCCTATCGTAAATCGATAGTTTATAGTGACGGACTCGAACATACTTCTTTTACATGTATAGTGACTCAAATCAAAACCTTTTTCTCGAATATATCGTCAACATTATTATCCATAAGGATCAAGTGTTATTTTATATTTAATACAAATGATGAGTAAGAAAGTGGATTTCCTTATATTCTATGAAAAAAGTCAATAACGGCCGATTTTACCACACAGATTTCTTTTACATAAGCACGCGATTGAATAAAAACTTGGGTATGTGAACGTAATTACCATATACATCCCTTTACAAAATTATTGTAGTTATCATTAAAATGTATCATTTTTCCCTGTCGATGTACGAATTATAATATATTTATATAGCTTTTTATATAGTATATTTATAATACACTATATTCAAAAATCTAAAAAGCATATGTTTTATGAAAAAGTAATACATACTATTAATGCCACCCATAGACCAGCCTATGCAATCGTATAATAGTGCGAAAGACAATGAGCGTAATACAATATTATGTATACGAGAACACAATGTCCAAAGTCAAATCGCCAAATCCTATTATTGTCACTATTCAAATTATTACTAATAGTTTTTATTTATTATATATAAATTAATATTTTGTGTTTTTGCGCACGCACGCGCACGCGCGCGCGTGTGTGTGATAAATTTTAAGAAGACTTCTTTATGATTGAAAATACAAATTGAAGTATTTTAATCTTTATCGTCGCTTTTCATAATTTTTATCGCATATTTTTACTGCATAGGTTTTATGATTTAACAGAGGAAATTTATAATACTGACCTCCATCTGTTATAGTTTTTTATCAATTTTTTATTTTATCATAGTTTCCAAAGATGATCTCTTATTTTCATACATTTTCATAAAAATTATATAATCCCCAACAACATTGTCTTATCATAAATAGATGATTTATTGTATGATGACTTATGTATTGTATAATACATATTATATAATATTCGCATTACCAGTATTTATATTTGAGAAATATAAAATAATACCTATTGTGATAAACAATGATACTAAATTACATTTATATAACTATGCACAGATTGAGAGACAAAATTTACTCGAATTTTGCAAGTTTCTATAACTGTTATAAGTTACGAGGGAAGCAAATTAAACGTGGACTCTTGAAAACTGTAAAGGTGATAGCTGCCTCGTCTAAAAGCGATCACAAATTAAATCCTCGTATATAGCGACTTTGAAATATCGTTATTTTGTAAAGAATTTAATTAAAATTTTTAAATCAGCATTTAAGAGACTAGCATTAAAAACATTAAATTGCAAATTTTTAATTCTACATCTGAACGTACTAATAATACTTTAAATATGAATTTTAAACTTTTCAATAAATTAAAAATTTGTTTATTATTATTGCTGAAAAGCTCCTTCGGATAATTAATTAAATTTTGAAAAAATATTTTAAGAAAGAGCAAAATTTAAATATTTGATATTTATTTTACATAAATTATCTGACAAGTAATTAGAAACCAACAAAGAGCGTGTAGGCCAGTTTATTTTATGGCATAATTAATGGACCTTTTATAAATTATAATAATAATTATTAGTTACATTTTCAATAAATATAAAAATTTACTAACAAATTGTAATTTAGAAATTGTTTCTAATTTACATTTCAATTCTTCTACATTATCCTTTTATATTTCTTTATGTGTCTTTTTATACCATAATTCAACACATTATTAAGAAATGTGCAAATAAACTGAAACTAAATAAATTATAAAATGAATTTAATCCGATTTGAAAAATGTTTAGCTATATAACCAATGAAGAATTTGGAGTTAAATATTTTGAATAATTTTTTAAACAATTATAACATCATACAATAACTACATAATACTTTATGTATTAATACAATATTTTTTAAACTTATATTTATGCATTTATTTTTAAAATACGGTATAATTATACATAATTATAGAAACAAAATAAAAATAATGCATATATTAAAATAATATTATATTTATTTATTTTACTTATTTCTTATGCTTCATCAATGTAATTTAATAATTTCCATTAATTTCCATTAATTTCTTATATATCTTATAATAATATATCAATTATCTAATATATTACCATAATCTAATATAAAATAATACAATGATTCAAAACAAACAATTTTTATATTAAATCACTTTATATACTTTTCATAGCGCTTACATTAAGAATTACAATGCAGAATCTATTGACATAACTCACATTATACATAAAAATACTGGTTAATAATTATATAATATTTATATATAAATAATGAAATTATAATTATCCGATGAAAGCGCGCCTTTTCGTTCGAGCATTGGAACATAGCCTTTAGAAGAAAAAAAAGCAAATATCTGAAATTTAGTTTAAGAAATTCGAGCCTTTAGAAGAAAAAAAAGCAAATATCTGAAATTTAGTTTAAACATTATATACTTGTATACAGGAAATAAATTTTGATTCGCCACGTGGCGGCATCAGTCTGGTAACGGAAAAAGGACCCGAGACAACGAGTCGATTGATGATTCAGCGCGCAGTGCCAAGCGACTCGGGAATTTACACCTGTCTACCCAGTAATGCCAATCCAAGCAGCATAAGGGTACACGTCGTCAAAGGTAAGGAATTTATACGCCTTCCGTGCTCTTTACCATTTTCCCTCAACTTCATTTTTGATAAGTCAGAGATTAATTTATTCAACACTTTTATTAATTGTGAATTGTTAAGGAGGATTTTTATTGGATTTTATCTTTCATTTTTCAAGATTCGTCAAAGATATATAAATGGAACACATTATTATAAACATGACAACGTATCATAATTCTTCTCGTTTAAAATTCGGATCATAAAAGTCGAGCGATTTTAAGTATGATAATATACGCCGTTGAATGGCGATCAAAACTACATTTGATGAAAGGGCCATCTCATTTGAAAATTTTAATTGTATTCGAAATATGTGGAATGTAATTAATAATAAATATAATTTCGATAATTTCATTTCTGTTTTAGGCAATAAATTATTTATTTTTTATTTGATTAATGTAAGAAGATTATTATTAATATACATCGAAGTACCACTGAATAATATGCGTTGATATGAAATACCGTTGATACGAAGAGTATCTTCTGAAATATGCACATTACTTTAGAAGTTTACGTTTAAAAATCGTATAAAAGTTTTATGATTAATACAATCTTTAATATTACAATTTTGGAAATTTTAATAGATTCTATAAATTATTTTACATTATTAGTCGAATAATATATTAATTTAAGATAATAATATTCTTTTAACCTAATTGTTTTAAAGATATACACCAATTTAATAAATAAAAAAAAGTATATATATATATATATATATTAGTTTATATCTATATATATATATATATATAGATATTAGTTTAATATTTAGTTTCGTATTTATACGCATTTGGATAGGTAGAAAAATACGTACAAAAATTCATATTTTTATAAATTATAAAATTCAAATGAATAATTTATTATACTTTTTTTTATTAAAAATCTAAATTATAATCTAAATAATATACAGTTGATAGAATGAATATATGTCTAGATAATCTAAATAATAGTCATTAGTAAACCTGTCCTAACGTATACAAGTAATTCATCGTACATCAACGCTTTCACGCCTTCAACTTTGCGGGTAATCGCTTAAGGCGATGGTCTTCTTCTCCCATGAGGTCGTAGATCACAAGAAAGCAGAAGTATAATGCGGCATATGATGTACGACGTTCAATTTGTCTCCGTCGTTGGTTAAATGTCATCCATTTCCGGTCATCTCACGTGGTCACACTAAGTCCTTTACTCAATTTTTCAATCTGTCTCTTTCGAAACCTATTATCACTCCCCATCTCACAGTTCGCACTCACTTACATTTTTTCTCTTTTTTTTTTATGTACTCTTATAATGTCTCTCAACTACAATATATACCTCCTTACTTCTTTAATAATTTACGCACGTAGAAGAAATGTGTAATAACGTAATTGTAAACTTTCTGAAAACGCCGTAAATCCTCGTTATTTATCCTCATTACGAAGATGAAAATACAATTTACAAAGAGAATAATAAAATTTACTATATATTCAATTTAAATATGACAATTTTTTAACATAATGTTATCGATTATATAATTAACATGAATTTCAATATTAATAATCATTTATAAAAGTATAAAAGTATCAAAATTTAATTATAGTCATAAATTGATTTATATAAACATATTTATTACGATTAATTAATACAAAATCAATTACATAACTATAGATAGATATTTGTATAAAGTTCTTTTGTATAATCAATGAAATCATACGATTTGAACATGTTATTAATTAAACGCAGAACATTTCAAATCTATTAATTATCAAATTAAATTATATACAATAACTAATTTTTCTACAAATAATGTGTAAACAATATTTATATTAATATAATAACTTAATTAAAATATTTTTTGATGTATACTAAATAAAATTCAATAAAGTTTTCATTAAAATAATTTCTATACAGTAAAATATTTTATGAACTATCCTAAAAACCTTTTAATTTTATACTTTAAATATTTGTTATAAATTAAATTTCATGATTTAACTTTACCATAATTATTGTAAAATTTACTCATACATATAATCGTCTGTATTTAGTCAAGTAAAAATGTATATATATATATATATATATATATATATATGTAATAATACGTCTTGTAACAATTTAATTAAAGTAAATTTAGTTAAATAAATAAAAATATAAATAGTTGATCATTCAAGTAGGGAAATACAGCTGCACTTTAGAAAAATCCTAAATTTTTCTTGATGTTATTTTATTTCGCAGAAGTACAAAAAACCGTAAAAAATGTTAAAAATAACAACATCTTTCCAAAATTTATCTATATATTTTAATTTTAAACACAAGATGCACTCATCCTTAAACGACATTTCGCCAAAAACTTTTTCGTAATCTAAGTTCCCTGCATCCATCATATTTTATCAATTCATCAACACTAAGGGTTAATAGTGAATATATAAGTTTCTAAAATGCCTAAGTAAGAAATTACAGCACTTTCTCAAATTAAAAATACAAACTTTTAAAAAAATTTTCTGTTTACATATTATAGAAAGATTAATTGTATGTTTACAGAAGAACATCCAGCTGCAATGCACCACGGAGATGGCAGTACATCTTATGCCAAAAGTCTACTGTTACCTTTATCAATTATATTAACACTTAACATAATTTTTGTATAAAACGAATGGATCATCTTTAAATATATGATTGTATGTATCATAAAAAAATGATGTGTCTGGATGAAGGGAAATTGTATCAAATGAATAATTGCTATTGCCCAGGGTATATTGTAAGACAGAATGTCGAGATTTGTTTATAATCTACATCCGTGACCAAAGATTTTTTCAAAATATTATCACGGTCTTAATAGGTACGATCTTAGTATTTTGTTATTAAAAATAAATCTATCGATGAGAGAAGGCAGATATTAAAAATTAAAACATTTGTAAATATCCTCGCTGTATGTACATATCAATAAAACAATTGTCTTTGAATAATCTAACACGTTAGTTATATTTCTTCCCATCAATCATTTTATACATATATATCGAGAATGATAAACAATTTTTTTTATATTAAAAAGTATACAAATATTTATTTAATATATAATAAATTCAATTCAATTTCAATTTTTTGACAGACCAAGTATATTTTATAGTCTTTAATTTTAATGATATTCGTTATTATTTTATTTGCTTGTCCTATTTTCGTTGTACGTTCTTTTTGGAATTTTCAAGTGGATTATTAAATTTTATATAGAATATTTCTCTCGAAACTGAAATACTATAATCTAATTGCTCTATTTAAATAGCATTTTCAGCATTAAAAAATAATATAACTTTTTTTTAATTTTGTTTTTTAACATCTCGTATAAACACAAAGAATCTATATCACCAGAATTACGTAACAGTTTTTATCCAAAGCGTATGCGAATAAAATAATAAAGTATTGAAACATAATATATATGATAGAATACAAAGTTATTCATTCATACTGAATAAATAACAGAAAAAGAGAGATAAAAAGTAAGATCAGTGGCTCAGATCACGCGCTAACGTCCAGTATTGGTGTACTCTTTGTCACTTTGCGTCTCACCGTTGCTTTGAATATTTCATGGCAGATGTTTTTGTCCTCTTTTCTTCTAGTTTGCTTCTAAATCTAAGTCTTAACCTGGCTTTATTTCAAAACAAATATCAACAAATATCAAAATAAAAATCACCTTTAAATTCATATTTATGGTATTTTATGATTAATATTTATGATCTTTCCTAATCAGAAACTTTTACGGTTAATGATAATTGTTATATCCTTTGACCTATATTCGACCGATCACAATATTTCAACTAGTGCTAGTATATTCTTTTCAGAGCCTGTGCTTTTATATAATTTACATTCACAAGAAATATTACGGATTATACTTATATTTGTATAAAAGATTTTAATCTATTAAAAATTTTTATTTTTATTTCTTGCTATGAGAAATTTTTATACAACTTATAATTTGAATAGAATAAATCGATGCCAACGTCGGATGTAATTAAAAGAAAATAAAGCTAGTATTTTAGCAAAATATGAAATTTAATAGAATTTAAAATTTAAAATCTTTTCATGAAGAATTCAGAATGTATTAACAAAATAGATATAATAAAAATATTATTTCTTATTTTTCACTGTTTTTTTTTTTTATTGATAATAAATCTATTATAATGTACGAGCAAATATTTCGAAGCTTATAATATTGCAAATAGATTTATAAATATTTTATTATCGTTATTTTTATTTTATATAAAAATAAAATGAGTCACCAGCAAAAGTAAATATGCGCACAGAATATATCAAAAATTTTAATTTACTCTACTAAAATACGCAACATTTTAAAATTTATCTAATCTTTCCAGACCAACTGTCTGAAAGCGATTTAGTTAAAGTCTTCCTATTCATTTTTATAAAAACTATCTCAATATCATTTATCGGTATCCTAATTGCTGTATATAATATATCGTATATAATATCGTAATAATATTATCGATACTTTTCTCAATTTGACTTATACGCATACTTTTATTAAAATTTAATGAAAAGTATTTTCATTGTTCTACGTAGAACTTACATAACTTCAACATATTTAGCTTGTAGCTTTAAATACTAAAGTGTTTATCTCGTATATCACTAGTATAATTAATGTATTATATAATTATCAATAATGAAGAAAAACTTTTTTAAGTTAGATAATAAAGGCCGCGATACTAGTTACTCTGTTATTCTATAACAATATAAAGAAAATGTATTTAAGTTACGAAACTATGTTATAATACTTAAGACTTCATTTGGAATACATTTAATGTTAATTATTGTTAATATAAATGATTTAATACACCTTTTTAATGAAAAAATATTTTCTTATCAACAACCTTAAATTGCAAATTAAATTATCAGTAAAATGTGTAAGTAAAATGAATACATAATATATTTATTCGTTTAAAATCAAGTTACACTTCATTTGAATCAGTATATGATAAATGCACAGAATAATAATAAACAATTTTAATAAATTTAATTAGTAACAACATGTGAAAATGTGATAAATACAATATGAGAGTATTATTTATGCCTTTTAATTTATCAAAAATATTATTAGTAACATGAATCATATCATATATCCTATTGTCATTTTTATTTGAATATATTACTTATTGAAGTACTTTGAATAAAAATAAACATTTTTACGCATCGGTATTCGATTCATTAGCAACTGCTACAATTTTATACATACATCCACTCCCACAATACTACAATAAACTTAAAGGCATACTATTACTATAATAATGTAGTTAATTACATCAGAATTTTAATCACAATTGTGAGAATCTGACGAATAATCTTTGTACTTATAAATTCTAATTCTATGACGTATGTTAATAATGGTAAATCTTTTATAATTCTAATACAAAATTTAAGCTCACCAAATAAGATTACATTACTATCAATCAATTCAAACTTTCCTAATTATATAAAATTAACATATTAATTATTATTACTTGATATATTAATAAATGTTCATATTTTAAAAATGAAATTTACGCATTTTTATCAAACTTTTTTTTACCATAAATAAACGGGTTTAACGTGATAAACGTGATAAATCTTTAAATTGTAACGTAATATTGCGAAAAATATAATACATAATTATCTGGTATTAATAATATAAAAAACAATATTGTAGCTTACAACTACGAATTGAATATTCGATGAATTCTATAATTCATTTATTATTACTACAAAAATTTTTCTTTACTTGATTAATAAATCATATATTACATAAACACCTAAAAATCCAAGAGTAATTGATCGAAGCAGAGTATAATATAGACTAAAACACCATGTCTAATTTAATGATAAATTAAATTTAGATTGTTCAATAAAAAATTGTATAATAATAATTAAAAAAAATACAAATTCAACTCTGTATTTATTCCTTAGTATATCAACTTGAACATTAAAGGTAATTTTATAATAAAAATATTCACAAATAGTATGATAATATTATATGAATGTCGCGAAATAATAAAACGATATATTACTTTTAGTTACAAATATTTATTTCAGTTCATAAACAATCAAAAATATTCTAAATATAAAGATAAATGATAATTTTAAGTTAAAAGAAATGTTTGCATAATTATAACCAAAGGCATTTCATTCATATAGATTATTTTATAAAGGAATTCTAAAAATATGCAGCGATTTAATCATACCATTAGATTCACTTTAAAGCCATTTTACCGATGTAAATATCAATAATGTTTCACACTAAATTGCAAATAAATTTATTTATTTTATTTTATATCTCAAGTAATTTAAAAAAATTGTTAAATATTTTTGCAACTTTAGTCAAAATTATTTTGTTAAGTTCAAAGAAACAAATATTAAATTAAAATAGAAAATGAAGTAAATTAAATTCAGAAAAACAATTATTTTACTATGTTTAAATAATTATATACTTTATTCAAAATAACTTATGTACAGAAAAATGTGTATTACAATATCATAATTATCTCCCATTTACCAATGTATTTATTTATAATGATCTTCTTAAAAAATTTTCATCAAATTGGTTTGCTTTCATTTGGTCAGCGATATCCTAAAACATCAAATTCTAGTAAGTATTGGATTTAATGCTGTTAGAATAAAATTGTTAATTTACTTATTGGTGTAGCTATTAGAGAAATTTATTGGCAATTTATTTATTAATATATCTAAATAATATCTAAATTCCATAATAATCTGAGGCATACATTTTCATTTTGATCGAGGAATTGTTTAATATATATCTCAAACTCTTATGAAGCATATAGTAATATAAAAATATAATAAGCAAAAACCCTAGCGTTCCATCTTGCATTTTAGTGAGAATCTTCTGATTCCTCTTGTAAAGTATAATAGGGCGAGAGACCCGGGGTCGCGTTTAAATAGGAAATAAAATCGATGACCTTTGTTTCTCTCTGACGATCGGTACCTGGTGGGGCTGTTCGGGCGCGATTCTGTTTACTCCATAAATTGTAAACATTGGAATTGCGCTCTGAAATTCCAGGAATATTTATTCGTTTCTTCAATGGGACGTCATGCAACGTCATGGACTTGCCGAATGCTACAAGACATGGTCCAAGATATGCTTGAGTTTCTGGAATATTTTGCCTGTACACGAGTTCAAAATTACCGGTATCGGCGTTTGGATTCAATGGTACATCCAGTGTTACTGAAAATAAGCCAAACTTCAATGCGACTTACATAAAAGCTTGCATATAATTATATTTCATTTATAATCCAAATTAAGGTATTAAAACATATAAAACGTATTTATAATTTCATTTATAATCCAAATTAAGGTATTAAAACATATAAAACGTGCTCATATAAAACATCCATAACAATTTATATATAACTAATGGTAATTCTTACAACAATAAGAATTAAGTTTTTGTAAAAATCAAAAAACCTATTACATATTATATAAATATTTAACGTGCCTTTTTATATTATTGATCAATCTACTAGATATTCGAATATAGATTGTTTTTATTATATTTATATTCACAGTGGTACACTATTTATAAATCTAATGAATCAAGTTTAAATATCATTTCTAATATTCAAATTCTGAAAAATAAACTATTTTAAATGTTAAAATAATTTTTAAATTTATTTTAACTTTGACTATTATATATTTACTTACATTCGCTATTGAAATATATAAACAATATTATATTTTGTATGTAATATAAATGAAATTTAATATAATTTTATTCAATATAATTTAATAACAATGAAGTATACTAAACCCCAATAATATAGCCATTATGTGCAATTAAAAATTTATATAATTTTCATGTAGAGAGGAAAATTTCATAAAAATGAACCTTTGACTAAGCTTTCTAATACCGCACCGTACAATCGTTGGGTAATTCTTGAACTAGGAGGATGCATTCTTGGATTTGTATTTATCTCGATCAACCATACCGAAAGGTCCTGCATGACCATGAAATCAGCTCCATACAATTCGAAACTACAACGCCGACGGTCCATGAAATCCTGAGCTGCAAGCATCGTAAGCACTATTGCCTGAGACATCTTTGAATATATCTTTTCGTAATAGGGTTCTCCTTCATATCCTACGCTTCTATGAAACAAAACATAAGTAATCATTTAGATCAATGTTAGCTTGAATTTCATCAAAAGGAAATTCTGTAATGCATGCAATCTAGGATATGATTATTCCGCCTTTGAAATCATTACGTTTCATATTTGCCCATTAAAAAATTTAATATAACATATAAAAATTCTTATTTCTATATCTAGCTTTATAATTCAAGAATTTAAATTAAAAATGTAATAAATATTATTTAACTATTTATTCAAGCATTATTCTATTTCTTTTTAGCTTTTTTAGCTAAAACTCTATCTTTCACTTGAATAATGAGAATAATTGAATAATAAGAACAAATAGAACTTGTTATTTTTATAGAAGATTTGAATTAATTATTAAATACTTAACGAAGCTTTTCTTAATATTTTAATCACTGTTTTAAAATATTCAGCATTTTCCCTTTTTTCCATACAGAAAAATACAATATTTACATATTAATTATGAATTACTTATTTTATTTAATATACACAAAAGAATTAAGTAAAATTTTATCCTTTCTTACATTATGAAAAAAAAAATATAGTATTATATAAGAATAAATATTAAAATATATTTTTAATAATCGAGAATTACTCGATTAAACAAAATTTAATAAATATTACGAAAACATAAAAGAAAATAATTTAAAAACATGGCCAGAAAGGTAAAAAGCTTATATCAGAAAATTGTGAATCAATGCAAGATATATAATGACAATTTTTTAAATATATGGTTTTATATAAAATTAAAAAAAAAAAAGCTAATTAATGTGGAACGTTAAAAACTATTAGTGCAAACATTAAATAGTACACCCTTTCAATTTTCATATTTTCTGTATTTACTATAATACAGAGATACATAAAAATTAAAAAATAAAGATATAATCATATTCTAGTTAAATTTTCATGTACAAAATAAATTTTATATAATTATCATTATTTAATACATTACATATATCTTATTTCTTAAAAAATCATAATTCCTATTTTTAATTTGTAGAATATGTAGTATAATACTTTATACTACATGAATTGTACAGAACAAGATTTAAAAAATGAATAATTAAAAAAATAACTTATAATTAAGAAATTTCTGTATATTCTGATTCTAATTAAATAATCTCGGTATCAATATCGAATAATATTTATTTTTCTAATAATACATACAATATGTACGTGAGTGAATGTATGTACGAATATTATTATTTTGACTAATATTTTTGATGAGCAAAATTATTATGTACGTCTTTATAATTTTTACCGTAAATATTTCTCGTTATAATTTCTTAACAAATCTCTTGATTTTCTAGTTCATGACATAATTTTATTTAAATTTTCTTTCAAGGCATCAAACATTCCTTTGCCTTAAAATGTTATTATATCTACATGATTTCTATTAAAAAATATAATTTTATTATATGCATATATACAATGGCTTTTTTTAATTTTTCACAAACATTAAGATTAATGCATTATATTTTCTGAATACAAAAGTTAGCATTAACACAAATGACAATTATAATTAGAGAAATATGGAATGTAGCTCTTACAAATAATAGACTGGCATTCAATTTTCAAAACATTGTAATTTTTAATATATTATAATCAATTTTAAATTATCATACACTTTGACAATAATATAATAAAATAATTGTTTTTATTTTCAATATCTGTAATTTTTCGAAAAATTTGTTATAATACTTTATGTTGTATTTTATATGCTAGTATTTTATTTTAAAAATAATCCAAGTATATAAATATTTAATAAATCAATAAAAAAAACACTGAAAATTTGGTGTAGATCCATCGAAATTGGAAAAAATAAAGTTTTGTATAAATTCTATGATAGTAATATTTATAAATCAACATTAATGTAAAAATAAATATAGAAAATTTAAAAAAAAATATATTTTACAATAAAATTGTATAAAATATAATTAGATTGTACAATCTCAGACTATTACACAAATCGTTTTCGACTTTCATTTTCTAATTGTAATTTTCTAAATATATTGATATGAAATTCATATAACTTTTAATCCTCACCATTATTAAAACATTATATACTTTTATTATTTAAATAGAAAACAGACGTTAAATCTCTTTTGAATTCATAATAATTAAATATCTATAACAATCACACAATTCAAAGTAAATATTTATATATTTTGCAGATTGAACCAACGATAAAATTATTTAAATAATTTCATGTTTTTTTTTTTTTTTTTTTTTTTTTTTTTTTTTTTAGTAAACTTGATCTATAATCTACTGCCAATGACTTCCTTATAAAATAACACAACGAACAGCCTCCTTTATCCTTTATGCTTTTTTCATTTTATGCATATAAATATTTAATAGACGTCTTCAATTGTACAAATAAAAAGAATAAATGAGCGTAAAATTACTTCAAATATTCGTTCAATTTCTTACAATCCCATCCCTGATCTCGAATCGACGACTCTGAGTCATCTCCAAGTCCGTTGACATTCGCAACTCCGGCTCCACCAAAACAGCCACGATTTTTTCGTTTTCTTCTCTCAAAGTCATATCGTTCTTGTATCGCAGTATTGCAAATATGAATAGCTTCGTGGTAATTTGTAAAGGTGTAAGGCTTTGAGCTGAATCGTAAGAGGGCCTCTCTAAAAGAAAATATCTGATGTCAATAATTCACTTTGTCTCCATTTACTCCATTTTCTCTTAATTTCTTTTATTTCTTTTCATTTTTTCTTTCTGTTCATCTCGATATACCAAACTCTCCTTACCCTCTTTATTTATCTGTCTATCTATTTATCTATCTCTATCTATCTATATTACACTTACTCTATTTCTTATTATCTACCTCACTCTCTATGAACAAACAGAATTCTCTGAATTCGTAATGATGGTAGTTGACCGTTCTCGAGGACTCTCTTACTTATTATACTTACATAGTGAAAATACGCTCCTTAAATAAACGAATATATAATTTGGAATCCATTTCAAAATAAGCAGTATCGAGGGGATTGGTTTAATATAAATACAAATAGTTTCGACAAATAGGTTCTAAATAATATTTCATTATGATCAAAAAACATTTTCATTGAAAAAAATAAAACTATGAAAATTTAAAATATCTTATTGCATAATTATAATTCTATTAAATTATACCCCCAATTATATTTCTAAATCTACTCTAAATATAATTAAATATATGAATAATAAGAGTAGCCTTTAAAGGCTTACAATTTCATTTACCTGTACATATAACATAGAGATAATTAATTATTCTTTGATATATGAGCCAAAATCACTCGTCAGTAACATTATAAATGACAAATAAACAAACGGAAATTAAAATTTTCAAATAATTTTAATTTACTTTTCTTTTCTTTTTTTTTTTATATATTTATTCATGTAATAATTCAAGAACCTATAAGAACAGTGTTTCAATACAAATATCTATATTAAATTCTTGAATTTTCATAGTCCTTAGATATTATAAAGATTCACCCACTTTCACTCGAGGTTAAAAGAATTTAAAACGCTTATTTTATAAAAATATTGAAAATACTGATTCAAAAGTAAATTCATTCAAGTACATTAAGTTAGGAAAATATTTATGCATACACACATACGCGCACACACTTGCGCGCTCCCATAGATATATATATATATATATATAATTTTTTTTTATTTTATATGATAATTAGAATATTAAAAATAAAAAATAGTTATAATATTATAATAGTTATTTAAAATATAACGAACTAAACTTGTGGCAAAAATGATATATCTTTTTTATTAAATATTTAATCTAGAAATATAAAATATTATGACATAGTTATACTATATAGTGTTTAAAAATAGTACTTCAAGTTAAGATACTACGAATATTGCAACTACTGATATAACTAATAATCTTTAATAAACTCATATAAGTTAACATGTATTAAACATCCGACCGAGTGAATTCATTTTACACAGGTCCCAGATCCTGATACGGCAAATGGTTATTAATTATGTCTCGATACATTTATTTTAAAAGTACATAAAAAATTGAAAATTCTTACTTAAACGACCATATTGTCATTGGAAACGTAGAAGTGACGAGAAACCATTGTCGAATATCAAACTTTGTTCCATATACCAAGAATGGACGTTCTAAAATTAAAACTAACATCATTTAAAGGGGATGAATATTTAATTGCAGATAAATTTTATAAATTATAATTATTTTTAAGAGGAATTTTTTAGTAAGTGAAAGCATGGAATTATTATATATAATAATCAATATTCTCCATATTTATAATTGACTTGAATTATTACTTTAAACGATCACGTTATTTCACTACGGTAAAAATTTCAAATCGATGAATACTGTTTTTTTTTTTTTTTTTTTTTTTTTTTTTTTTTTTTTTTTTTTTTTTTTAGTGATTCCGATCAATTTAACGAAAATAATGTGAAATTAATAAGTGTGTTTAAATATTGAAGAAAAAATTAGTCAATATAGAGTATCTTCCATGAAATATAAATTTCAAAATTAAAAAAAATGAAAATTTCCACCCTTTAGTTTATATTAAATAATTCTTATATTAGAAATAATTATATAAATATTAATATATTATATTAACAACTATTGCATTATGCTAAAAATCGTTGGAATTAACAAAAATAAAAAATTATACAATACAGAGAACGTACCTAGTGAATAATAAATTCATTATTATCGAACGTATTTTATATTTATAAAAGAATTTTCCAATAAAATTAATACCAATTATAATATAAATATACACAATTTATTTTTATGAATTTTGATTACATAAATATAATAATTTTTATTAAAGCATCTTATTGACAATTAATAAATCTTTATTGCATCATTTAAAATTATCTAGCAATTGCCTTAACTTTTATTGGATAAAATAATATCAACAAAGATAGTTTTGAAAATTTTACCAATATACTTTTGCACAATATAGTAATCCTTTGGTTTGGACTCCACTTTTCGTGCAATAGTTTTCAGATCATGTGTCATAAAAATACCTGAACCACAACAAAGATTGCTAGGTTTAACTATCCATATGTTTCTTTCTCCATTTAACTCAAATTGAGGATCAATATTCTTCAATTTCTCTAGTATAGATTCAGCTGATGTATGACAAAGCTTAAAAATGAATTATCAATCAATGTTTCAACATAAGTTAATTATTATATAGGTTAATATTCTAATTATCATATAAAATAAAAAAAAATTATATATATATATATATATATATATATACTAACCAATAATAATAATAAACTTTTTAAATTAAAAAATTTTGTTCAATATGGAAAAAGAATGACAAAAAGTGTATTATTATTTTAATAAATTTATATTTTATAATTTTTTCTATACCCGTTAAACATTGAAAATATTTTTTTGTCAATAATTTGAGAAATTTTTTATAATATTCATGTAGCAAATTATCTGCTATAATTTTAATCCGCTCAAAGAAATTTAAATGATTTTAATTATTTTAATAACAAATTCCAAGTTTAATATATTAAGATGAAAATTTTTGTGTGCTACAAAAAAAAAATCATTAAATTTTGAAATTCTTTCCATTTCACTTTAACACTTTATTAAACTGTTTTGTAAGGTTTACTTCTAGATATTATATAAATCTAATATGAGACGTTCCCTTTATATAACCAAACAATAATAATATACAATAAATGACATATTTATTCGTGATATTAAACTATTTTAAATACGTATAGTGAAAGATTATTGCAATATTGAAGGCCCAAGTTATAGTCTTATTAAGTTATTAATATTATATTCTTCACGTTTTTAACGTATGTTGAAATACATTTTATTACACTTAAAAAAATATGAACTTAGTTTATACTTATTTTAAATTCATTTATCACGAATCAATATATTTTCTACCCCTTACTTTTTTTTTCCAAATAATAGTGATATGACACAGAATAAATAAAAAATTTAACTAAATCTGATTGCTACTTTTTCTTATCGGGCTTACAAATTATACATTCAAAACTCTACAGTTGCACAACACTAACGTAAGAAATACCTCATCAAAGATTGCTTTTACTCCTTCCCACTCCCCACTCTGAAACCATTATCATAGAGCGCAACTTTTCGGTACTTTTTAAGTGAATCAGCGTTTTCTTTAGTATAAAAAATTCACTAATATGAATATTATGAATAAGCGAGCACTTTGAGTGCGTTGGTTCTCTCTATTTCTATCAATTTTCTGGCATCTTACTATTTCCGAATAAATAATAAATAACAAATTCACAAATGGAGCCATAGTAAAATAATTCTAGTGTAAACTTCTCATAAATAAATTTATATCTCTTAAAATGACCTAGTATATGTAATTTTATACGGATAAAATTTCTAATTTATCACGAAAAAATTTTTCGTGATAATATTGGTAGCCATTATCATAATCAACGGAGATGAATGTTCTACCTCTTTCTCTTACTCGCACACATATACATGCACATAGATAAAACACTTTAGAAATTTATCTATATATATATATATATATATATATATATATCTGACTTGTATTATGCACTGAATAATCGGGTACGAAGTTGGTTAACGTTATAAATCATTCAACTAGTTTGAAAAAATCTCGACACGTGTAAGTATTGAAAATATTTCCAACCCATTCATTCATCTTCACTTATAAATGTGTAATTGAATATGTTGATAATTTGTGCACAAGAAGAGAATAGAGAGATCAGTTTTTGTTGATATGGATATTTCACTTTTTTCTCACAATTTAAACTCCTTCGTTGATTCAAGCACGATTAATCTATTATTTACTTTGTAATAAAAGCCTTAATCTATTTTTCTTTCTATCTATTTCTTACAATGTTTTATTCAGAATTTATATACAAATTTTTTTTTTTTTTTTTTTTTTTTTTTTTGTATTAAATTTGTATTAAAATGTTTTTGTCAAGATACAGAATTAGAATTGAATTTAATAGATGAAATAAGGTAATTCGATTTATTCGACAAAAATCTTGTCATTCTTCAATAATAATAGTTTATCCAATGTATACATTTAATATAAATACATTAAAATTAGGTAATTCTTACAACCTAAATTATTATAAAAGTTTTATGCTTTTTTTTTTTATTTATTATACATCGTATAGAATTATCGATTGTTTATAAAAAATTATCAACATTAATTATATATGGACGAAGATTCAATGGATTATTTTTAAATATGAAAATTTATAAAAATTTAAATACATTTTGAAACATTTGTCAGTGATCTAATTCCAATACGTTATGTAAATTTAAAAAATGTATAAGCAAAAGCGAAAATTTAACTGTCACTTATAATTATTTATATCGCCCTAATATGTTTTATGCTCGGACATCACCCTCCTTTTCCCGATAGTCGGATCCGCCTTGCTACAATGCAATAGAAACAGACCAATAAATTTATCCTCGTCTTTCAAAGATCTAATTCAAAACTCCGAAAATCCACCTCTGAAAATAGCGTTTGCAAACAATTTTATTCTTTATCTCTTGATGCACTGCTTACCTTCACACGGTTTGGATCGGCCTTTGACAAATTTGCCATCGCATTGGATTTGTACAACAGTTTGTCGCAGTCGTCAAAAAATAAACGCCAGTCCTTATCGCCTGGCTCATAGTTCTCCTCGATATTTATGTCTTCGTGCTCTAACTCAGCGATCTGCTCTTTACAGCACTTTAGGGCTAATTCAATTCGATCAAAAGAGCTCAGCAATTCATTATTTTCGATTACTTTTCCTTCATGCTGCTTTTGAATCTATTAAGAATCTATATCTATTAGTTTCTCTATTTAATTAAACAAAAATTTTAATGAGAAATCTTTTTCCCGATAAATTCATTAATTCCATAAAATAATAATAATAATTTGATTTATTTTCAATGTCAACATAATGTTCCAAATGTTTTTCCTATTTCATTTCACCTTAATGTCATTTTAAACAGCTACTATAAAATGAGGAAGTTATTTGAATTAATACAAACATCAACATACAACATATAGATAATACATGATAATACTTGTATTATAATTGTTTGTACTATAATACTTTTGTATTAAAAATTTAAATAATCCAAAAAACATGTATCATAATAACTAATAAAATATTACAATTAGGGATTTATAAATAATACAACTATTATTAATTAATGATTTTAATAGTTTTAATTAATTATATGATAAATGAAAAACTGCGAAAAAATTAAATTGCAAATATTTCATTTATTTTACATAAAAAAATTGTCAAAGAAATTAAATAAAATTATAATAATTATAAAAATTAAATAGTTAACATTAATGAACTTTTATCAATTTATATTTTACATTGTGTTTGATCTGATTGAAAATAAATTGTAAATCGAGAAATATGTGAAGTTTAAAGTTATTGTATAATACGTGTTATTAATGGAAAATATAAAAAGGAAGAAATTTAATAGAAATATCAATATCAAGATGTAAACAGAATTTTAAAACAATATATATATATATATATATATATATATATATATATATATATTATTTATTAAATTATTTATTAAAAAATATATACTTTACTCTGTTGCGTTTGAAATAAATGAAGCAATTTCTAATATGGATTAATTGCACGTTTAAAATTTTACGTTTTCTCATTATATTCATATAAATAAAAATATGGGTTAGGTCTACCAATATAAATTGTTGGTGTATAAAATAGAACATTCAAATTGAATTTAAAAATTAAATTTAAGAAAATTATAAATGTTTTTTTTTTTTTTTTTTATAGTAAATTATCATTAAAATCAAATGGACATTGACATTTCTATATTGAAGCAGAGCTTTCGTATATGAAATAATAATAATAATAATATTAAGCTTCTACACATTATATTTTATTATACTATAAAATCAGTTAATATTTTCCTTGTTTCTAATTGCTTTTATTTCATTTTAACCAAATATTAGTTATTTTTCACATTTACAAATTAATATAAAAATTTATACTTATTCAATTTTTGTTCCACAATTTAAATCTATATACTCTATTATTTTTATTCATCTACTTTTTCATTTTTTATTCTTAAATTCTTATGAATTTCAAAGAAACTATGAAATAGAGTCAATTTACAAAGCAATAAAAGTATACAAAATTTTTTAAATAATATAAATTAATTCAAATGCAAATAGTTATTTCCAATTTACATATTACATGAATTATAGTGATCTTTGAAGACTTATTATTTATTATTTGACTGAATAAAATAGTACAATTCTAGACATTGTTGGTTTTAATATTAACTCTGAATTACTAATAAGTCAATCTTAAGTACTATTAAAAAAATAATTTCTAATGAAAATTATTTAGAGAGAACTAGATTTCTGCTAATAAAGACGATAATCATACGTATAAAAAAGACTGTAAATGCATAAAAACCTTTCAACATGGGATATTGGGTTAATTTTACAATTTTTTAACACTTTCTATTTTAAAATCTACCATTATTTATGAAATATTTAAATATAGTGCTTAAGGATGTAGCTAGAGTTAAGGAATCATATGTTTACATTTTTTAAAAATTTATGAAATTAAAATCCAATTATTTAGCTGACATATAAAATACAAATTCATGTAAATCTATATTCTAACAATAAAATAATATTAAAAAAAAAAAAAAATTAATAAAATTCACATTTTATTATGTTACATATTCTTGTGTCTATATATATATATATATATATATATATATATATGCTAATTGTATTTAAATATTCGAATTGTAGGAATAAGTATTCTTTTAAGTAAAAAGATATAAAAAAAAAACTCCTCAAATGCGATTTCAAATGGACTAAAAATTCAAGAAACGGTATTTTAAAGTTCAATAAACTTCTACAGTTTACATAAAAAAAAAAAAAAAAAAATTATAGAAGAGAAATTAAATTTGAATTCGCTTCCAAATTTTTTTAACAATTGTTTGCTTTCAGCAATCATTCTACTTTTGCATACTGCTGTTTTCTAATCATTAAGTGCATTATTTGCTCATCCAGGAATCTTGACAATCAGACTTTTAATTTTGGCACTAAAATCTTATCGCGTTTCTCATGCATTTGTTGTCGAAGGTACCTAAAGGCTACTTAGGAAAATATACAAACTTTCATTCCGAAAAACCTTAATTGAAGCAGTAATTAATAACCACGGAATGGGTGATAGTATGCATATGTATAGAGTAGATGGGTGATAGAATAGCATCTATTAACATTCATAAGCACGAGAAAAATTGTAAAAGCGACTGAGACTGAGAAGCCACTGTATGTGATAAAAATCTGCCAGAGGCAGTCGATCCTCAGCTCGTCATATTGCAATCGTCGTATTACGTGACAGTTCGCGCATACCATGCCTTGGGGGATCAAGACATCAGATCGAGGAGTCGTCTCTCACCTTCTCGGACGTCTCGTTCTTTACAACGTTTTTCGACTGCATATAGTTGACGAAGCACCTGAGCACGGCGACGGCAGCGCTGTACCGAAAGTCCTGCACAAGGTAGAAGAACTCGCGTCCGGGATTGTAACTTCGTGGAAACAACACGTCCGCAACATTTGTCTCGTAGATCCAGTGCGCTTCCTTCAGTACGTGGGCCATGCCGAGCTACGCGTAGAAAAATACCTGCAATTCTTACTCGTTACTAAACATATTGGCAAATATGCCATTTTATCGATAAATTATTTATGTTCTTTTGTCTTAGACATTATTTTCACTTGGAATCAGTTTACTCAAGAATTCTTCAGGCATATGCTATTTGCGAAAGTATTTGTGGAATTTGTCTATCCTTTTTAGAGCCTCGTTATCGTGAAAACCTATAATTTATAATTTTCAATATCCTGTGTTTATCTAAATAAAGTTTATCTCGCAACTTTATGTTCATTATATCATTCATATAAATGTAATTGTTAATGTTTAACAGTAGATTTTCCGATATCGATAGATTTTATTTAATAGAGAGCAAAATACTGTTATACATTATCATTAGTATACCATTTTAAGATTTACAATTTATTATCATTCAATTATTGTATGTAATTTATTTTATACGCGAATTATGAAATTAATGAAAAAATAAATGAGATTTTAAAGAAGAATTGTTATATATTATATATTATGGAAAGATCTAGAAAGGACAAGAAAATTAGAAGAAAAAATTTTTTTATTTCTTTGAATTTCATTAGAAATTATATCGAATACCGATAAAGCCACTAATTTTTAACGACTATATTACGGCATAGGTAAGATTAAAAATTAAATAGCTGTAATTTCACTCAGATGTAGAATGAGTGTGTAGATGGTATTTTTAAATGACCTGGGATCTGAAATATTTATTGATAATTTTTTAACACTACGAACACACTTTTATTTCACATATTGAGAAACAAAATGGACATATTTTTTAGTATACACCTATTAATTAAAATAATATATTTATATATTATTGTTATGATACGTTTAAAAAATTACATATAAAAGCTTAAAAAGTAATGTTTAAAAAGAAAAAAAAGTAATCGCTTTATAGCTTTTTTTTATATTAATGGAACAATTTATTAAATATAATTCTCTGAATAAGATATCGTGTCTAGCCGTATAAATATCATCGTTATCATTCTCAATGAAAATGAAAATAATTTCATAATTTATATAATTTATGTATTGTAAATTTTCGCTGGATAGATCGATGAATTGACGAAATATATTTATAACGCCATAATAGTCATTGATATAATACAAGTAACTTTAATCGAATAGGCATAATAATAATTTTTAATTTTCTAGAAAATGCAATAATTAAACATTCAACCCGAAGACATTATGATGCAAATCGAATAAAGAAAGAAAAACAAATAATCGAATTGCGAACAAAGTTTTACTACGCGATACACCTCCCGCCGAAGCTCCATTTACTTTATGCCAAAGCCAAGCATAACAAAAGGCCGTCCCTTAAACGCGTCCAACCCGGTTGTTGTGTAAAATGCATTATCCTCCCGTGTAAGCTCGTAATACCTTAGAGGTGTAGAGGGAAGGCTTATGGAACCTGTTCAGTAGCACGTTGCCAGAAATATTTCGATCCCACTCGATGAAGTCATTGCGGCAGTCCCACACGAAGTCAGGCTGGGTGAACCGCAACAGGGAGAAAATGATGGCGCGCTCGTTTATCGTGCCGTCCGAGAATCTCAAGTCACCTAGCGATTTGGCATCCATGTTCGTCCCACAGGCTGTCCTCAATAGAACAATACGTGAGAATTTACAGGCACTCGAGGATGCGTCGAAAAGAACAATCGAAATGAATTGCGTAAACGTGACGGGAAAACGAATCCTTTGTGACGTTCGAATATTCTAAGGGGCTGTGGTTTCTTCTCAACGAGTCATGATGTTACAATGTTATCAAAATCCAAAACTTATTATCAGTAAATTTACAGATTTAACTGGCGATAGTAAATTTTGATGATTTTTTAGAAATAGATTTCTGAATTTTTGAAGTATTTCTTTTAGAGTTCTTACAATTAATATTATAGCAACTATAAAAATATAAACTACTAACAACGATAAAAACTATACTATACTATACTATAGAAATATAAATATTATAAAAACTTAAAACTATCGAATCGCTGTATATTTATCTGTAAAGATACGTTTAGAAATTATTAAATATGATGATAAAACGTTTATTTGCATTTTTGCAATTTTTATTTCAAATACTTTCATAACTTTATTATAAAGTTCTAATGTGATTACATAGCTATTAAAGCTAAGAACAATCAAATGTTAAGAAATTTAATTTATTCAAAGTCAATAGGTGTACGTATATAAACATATAATTTTTATTTTTTGTGTTCGTTAAATTATTGAATATCGTTTTTAATACTTGGAAAACATATTTTGCAAAATAAACTATTTCATATGAATTTAATATGTAATTGTAATTCCAACACTATTTTAGATGAATTGAAAATTGGATAATATTGTGAAATAAAGTAATACGCAATTTGTAAGCAAATTATCTCCTATTTCTTCTCGTATTTTATAATTTTGGTATAAATACATGGAAAAGTTATTTTAATACCTTACATAAATGCAGTAATAAGGAATATTGTCACTTTTACAATAACATTGTAAATCTACCATTTACAATCTGCGCGACTTTAATAACAATCTCCTCTTAGTATTTTCGTCGGATTTAAAGTTCATTTCAATTCAATTAAGTACTTTTGTGTTCCTAATAAACCAGTTTCACATGAGTTTACGGTTAAATCTCTTAAATAGAATGAAAACATATGACTCGTGGCATTATTTACGAGTAATTCTTTAATGGGAAACAAATATAAATGTATATTGATTGTACTGTAACGAGCGAGTAAAATAATTTATATTTATTAGACTTTGATGAGTGGAATTAAAAAAATTCAGTCGTCAGAAACCTTTCTGCTCCACGTTTATCCTATAATTTACTGTTTATAACCGATCTTTTTACTAAATTAATCTTTTAGGCTATCATTTGAATAACAAAGATACAACTATACTAAGAATTATGATAAATGAAATTATTTACACCTATAGAGCAATAAAGCTGACTTCGATCGTCTATTATCGTTATTGTGTAATCATTTTTATAAAGAAAAATTTTACTTCACCCGAATATTGATTCAATAGATAGTTAAAACTGAATAATTTAACATAGTGCTAAAACTGCCGTTGGCGCTCAAGTTCAAAATAATTCGATATTCTACTTAAATCTAACAATTTTCTAAATAGTTTCGCATCTTTATGTATATCACAAGCTCGCTAACTACATAAACCACATTGACTACATGCAGCGCGAAACAGAATTGTTCATAAAATTTACCTCACAAAGTCCACCCTTATAAATGAAATTACTTCGAACCTCGTCAAAACTTTCATATGGTCATTATTTTCAGGCTCTAGTAATATATACAAAGCGGCATTTGCTTTGTGTAAACATTCCACTAGCTTTCCATTCTTTCGATATCACTTTAATAGTCTCCGAAATATAGTGAACTAACCATATGGAAGACATCTCGTCTTGCTTGACTCGTACTTCTGGATCCAACCGCGCTCCTCGAGGACCTCCTTCAGTCTTGGCAGCTCGCCTCGGATTAGAAATATCTTGTGCCGCTGCAGCGAATGCGATCGGACAATTTCCAAGGGAAGAGAATAGCTTATTATCTTATATCGCTATAGCTTATTCGCTTTTGCCAAGCGCATATAATAGCGTATACGTATAAGTGGAGTAAAGACGTTACACGAAAAAAAAAAAAAAAAGGGAAAAATCTTCGAAATTTAAAGTTTTTCTACTTCACTTTTCCGATCACCGCTGTATACGAATGCGTATATTGAGAAATCTATTTTAGATTGATACTATATTTTTGCAATGTTTATTTAAAAAATATAGCAGGTCAATTATTAGATGTATATTATTATTTTTCATAAAAAATATTCACAAATATATAAATTAACAATTAACTTGTAAATTGTATAAAATATACAAATTAACTTGTAAAGACTTATATAAACATATGAATAATTTACGATATTTTTATATGTAACAAAAACAATGACAAGACCATAAATTTAGCATGAAATTTCATGATGAAAATTGGAATAATTATCTTTTGTCTTAATTCATATGACCATTTTCAAATTGAAGCATAAAGTAATAATAGTTGTATATATATATATATATATATATAGATATACCATATTTAAATGAAAATAATGCATTTAACTTTTACAAAATACGCATATCCTTTCAAAATATCAATATATAATTATTATATAATAGTTATAATCTTTAATTTAAACTTTTGAATATTTGACTATTTTTAAATATATTGGATGACAAGACTTTTATAAACAAAATAAGTAGATGTATGTAGATTTATAAGTAGATGAAATGTATAGATATAAGTACACGCTACACAAATAAACAGTTATTAATACTATATTCAACTATATTCATATATAAAATTTTATATAATATGTGTAGGTGTGTATTTTAAGAATTGGCAAATTATTTCTATTTAGATTTACAATTTAAAATACATTACTGCTGTTGAAAATGCAGTTAATAATTTTTAAGTGCAATCTTTTGCGTAAATTATTATACATAAATATAAAGAAATAGAAAAAAAAAAAAAAAAAACTCACGATGTCAATAGAAAATCAAAAATATGAATTATTTAATAAATTATCAGACTTCAGTCAACTAAATACAGCACTTTACATAAAATATGTTAAATTACACTACGAAAATGACATGCATTAATAAAATTGCTATGTTTCCATTTATATCAAATCATGTATTTCGATTTTAAAATTCTCAAATAATATGTATTTATTATTTATTAATTAGTTGTTCAATTTCTGCTGCATTACTATTTATTAGAATTTTTCATAAAATTTTTTGTCTATTTGTAATAAATGTAAGGAAAGTTCTTGTTGACATTTTTTTGCATTTCCCTTTTTTTTTAAACATAAATATTCAACAATAGAATTTATTATAAGTTTAAATTATGTAAATTATTTTGATAACAAATGTAGCATATGTTATGTAATATTTATTGTGTATTTGTTCGAATATTTTATATGTTTGAATATAGAAATTGCGCTAGTCATTTGAATATATTTAATGAAAATCGATTGTATTATAATTTTTCGAAACATATTTTATCTACTATTTTTATTACATATTAAAATATTCGTACAATAATATATATATATATATATATATATATATATATATATATATATATTTGGCAGTGTTAAGATCTACTCTTAGATAGTATATGTAAAATTAATTTCATTGTCATTGTATTAACATAGTAGCAGTAGATGTATTAAATATTTGGTTTATTTATACTTCCAAATATATGATGATATTTTAGTTTTTCTAACAACAAAATAATACCTTTCGATTATTACTAAATAAATAGTCTAAAAGTATGTTTTTGAAACATAGTTCGTTAAATTTAACTATACGCATTATTCGTTAAAGCGCAAAAGAATATACCTTGACAGCTTCTTCCACTTTCCTTTTGATTTTCTTAAAAGACTCGTTTTTCGACCACATGCAATTGAATTCATCTTCGCAGGGAAGAGAAATACTAGGCACATTAACCGACTCGTCGCAAGGTGTATCCGTGTCGCACTTTGAATAGCCTGATTTTGTTGGCGTCATTATGTTATCGAGATTGTAAGGATAATCTGATTCGTTTGTTTCCTTCAAATTCGAACATTCTTGCGGGTAATGAGTACGATTCAACGGGTTGTTGGTATTCTCGATTTTGTTAATATCTGCGGGTGAATGCTCATTTATTACGGTCTCACCGTCGTCGGCTAACTTAAGTATCGTCGCAGAGCAGCTGTTCGATTCCCTGTCAATGATATTTACAAAGATAAATAAATGATCGATTGATAATAGAAGTCGCGGACAATCAACAAAATTGCATTGACAAAACTATTATTAACAATACTCAAAATATATAATACCATAACTTAAACTCACGACTGGAAATAAAATTAAGAATCTATATTATGTCATATGAAATTAATGAAAATTTTCGATTACTATTGGCATTTCTGTACACAGATATAATATATGCATGAACTTATTTATACATTGCTGAAAGAAAATATTTTCATGCTCTATCCAGGCATAATTCATTTATAACAGAAATATAAATAGTCCTGATATTAAATGTGAAATAATGTTAAAAAGAAAAATCGTACACTTTTTATAATATAAATTAGAAGAGAAAAAAAAATTATTAATTTATTTCCTCTAAAATTAAATATATTGATCTCTACTTGGATACTACATTCATAATTGAATAAATTATTTTAAAAATAGAACTATTAAGATATAATAAATTCAAATTGATATAAATTTAATTGTATATAAATAGTATAAAACTGTATTTTTAAAAGATTTTAAAAATTCAACATATATTAATTGAATATTTGAAATAAGTCGGTTTATACATAAATTATGATTTTAAAAATCAACTAATACTCTATAAATAAACATGAGTGTACACTTACTCGGCTTAGTTCTAAAATAAAGTCTTTAAATATTCATTTTATTGATCCGCAACTAATTTGATTTAAAGCGATATTCTACTCGATTAATTACAATTGCTACTAAATAATCACAATATTAAAGTAAAATATTAGAACAGAAATAGAAAATTAAAATTATGTAAAAACAGCAAATTAATACAGAGATTATATCCTTCAACGTATAAAAGATAGTATTATAAAATCAACCGAGCAGCAAAGTTGAATAGATATTTTACCAAATACTTTTGCAATACTCCTGTTTTAACACGCGCGCGCGCGCACACACACACACACACGCACGCACGCACGCACGCACGCACGCACACACATATTTATATACGTAGTATTAAATTAAAAATAAACAGGGAGTTTTAAAATAATTCATGAAAAACTGTTTAGGTTAAAAAAAACTTAGAAATTAATTTAAAGTCGTTTAAACTGCTAGGGATAGATTAATAAAAACTAATATAAATTAACAGCTCGTATATATTACCAATTGATTATCAATTGATTGTTCAAGCAGTATGTAAACTAATAAATAATTCAAATTAGCCAAAATGAAAGAATTGCAGAGAAAACGTTTCCTATGTCGAACATTTCGAGTATTTCAAGTAAGAAGGAAGTTTTAAGTGATGCGAAGTGGACCTGATGTAGTTAGTTGCTTTAGTAAACTACTTTTAAGTGAAAAAGTAAATACACATACTTCTGTTGGCCTCTAACTGAAGGAGTCTGATCAGACTGGGAGCTCTTTTTGCAAGCAGCTTGATTCGACGATGTCGGTGGCGCTCCCTTAACCTCGTTGTGATTGTACCTTTTCAAGTAGTTTTTACTATAAAATTTCGGGGGCTCCTGAAGACGTTTCCTCGAATGTTCGCATTTACTACTGCTGCTATTACTATTGCTACTTTCACGATGGCTTTTACTTTTCGTATCGCTATATTTCTCCATATTCATCGATCGTAAAGGGAAACTTTAAAATTTTAAAGTGCCTCAATAGAACACTAATTTGTTTTCTTTATTTTTATTGTTTTAAACTGTATTTTTCATATAATTAATCACTGACATTGTACACGTTAACAATGTAATTTGATACTTGCGAAATTTGTGAAATTCATAAGAAATTTTGATTGCATTCAACTAAAGATTGGTTAGCTTGTATATGATGTGTCTAAAAAAATAATAAACTCTCTTTTGTTTAATAAGAAATATAACAGCATACACTAAATAAATGTTTCTAGAATAATTGTAATTTCTCTTTATAACAATTAATTAATTAACGGCATATTATCGATGTAAATTTATCTAAATTTAAGTAGATTATTTAGATATATTAAATATTAGAAAATACTTTTACTACTTAGGCTTAAAAAAAATTATTTATTATTTATTTCTTTCTGCAATTTTAATTATAAAATTGACTCGTGCAAAATCCAAATTATTATCAATGCAATTTGTACACACGGAATGTTCAAATAAAATAAGTTTCTGTGAAAAAATGGACAATAAATATCGAATAAATTACGGTAGGGAGATAAGGGGGAGGGGGGTGTGTAGCGATATTCGAATATTGCGTGAAAGATAAAGAAAGGCTTATTAATGAAAAAAAAAAAAAAAAAAAGAAAGAAAAAAAAAACCCCTGCTATAATTTTAGAATAAATTACATAAAAATTATTATTGTAATTATTTTGTATTAATAAGAATAATGAGTCTAGTACTAAAGAGATTCGCAGCTTAGCTATTACCTAATGACTGTCCGTGCGTTGCATCTTCAACGCGCCTATTTAACATAGCAGAAGCGAGTCGGGCTCGTCGTTGTTTTTCACAGGCCTGATATTCACGTCAGTGGCATTCGAAGCGTTAAAGGCACGAAATGAAAACGCAACAGAAAAAATAAATAAGAAGTGCACGCGCCAATGTATGCGAGCGTATGCATGGGGTTCGCGAGTTAACTTAGCTAAGTAACCGCACCCCGATTGCAGTGCACTCTCTCATCACCAGAAGCAGGAAGCGCTTTTAAACCTTCGCCCACAATTAAACCCTTATTCATGAAATGGCCGACTCGGTTAGACCTTCCATTATTATAATGAATACTAAAGAGGATAGGAAGTCGGACAGGCCCAGAAAGAATTCTTCTCGAATTTTCGTACTGACAAGTGTCTACGTGAAACGAGAATAATTACAACATAGAGTTCATCTCTCTATATCAATCAACATTGGCGTGCAAAACATAAGACATTGGTTAATATGTACCACGTAAGTGAAATGCATTTATTTTGTGTAAGGGTTGGAGCGATTAGAAGAATTGTTTAATGATTATCTGCTTTATTGTAAAAAATAATCACACTTTAATCAATATTAGCATGTATTCGCTTTTTATTATTTCAATGATATGGATAATATTAATATACTTCCTTCGTTAAAGTTTATGACACATAAATACCAGTTTCACCATTTATCACCTCTCTGTCTATTTCATTTCGTATTCGATATGCCCAATACTTTATATAACCGTAATATTTTAATAATACAATTCATAATTTTTTTCCTAACGATACAACGTGCGATAATGATATATAAACTAATACTTAAATTTATCTGTAAATCATTATGTGAAAACTTCAGTGTTAAATCAAATAATATACGCTGTAACTAATAGAAATTATAAACGTATTGTAAGAATATGACCGAAATCTGATTTTTTTTTTTTTTTTTTTTTTTTTTTTTTTTTTTTTTTTTTTTTTTTTAACTTTGTCCACGAGGCACAAGACATACTAACAAGATTTATTAAAAAACTAAAATAATATTATGGAATTATTTATAAATTTTGAAAATTTAATAGTAAATTCAATTTATTGTAAGTAATTCATAAAGAAATTTACGAATTTACGATTAATCATAACAGCTTCATGTACTTGTTCGCAATCGTATTGTACGTTATTATAACTAAAATAAAATTACGCAATAAAGAACTATGACTAATTATTCTATCGAAATGAATAAAATAATATTAAATTAATGTACATTTGATTATTATGATTAAAACAATTTTAATTATTATAAATAGTATCATTTCTCTTAAGTATTCGGCACATCCCAGGATTATAGGAACGACCAAATAAATTAAATAAAATTTTTTCTACAAATTTTATTGATAATATTGAATTTTCTATATTAACGTTAATTATTCTTAAATTTGACTTGAAAACAATATTGAAATAGTTTTCGACGTAATTTCATAGTTTGAATTAGTTGGATAAAAAGAAAGTTCTAAAGAAAATAGTGGGAATGGGCGAACAATAAATCTTCGATGAAAACTTTTCAATAAATAATAAATATAAAATGACAGTATTTATTAAATTTAGTTCATTTAAGCTTAAAACTTGTCAAAAATAAAATATTCTACAAAATGGTAAATGTGTCGCTAGAAATTCAAGGAAACCAAAATAATATTTTATTAAATATAAAATTCCTACATATAACAAAGATAATTTTATCAATGACTTAGTACAATTTACAAGTCAATAAATTAAAAAATAACAAAATACCTTTTTTTTAATTAATTTCAATCAGCTATAGGATAAACTATAATTATTTCGTTAATCTAAAAAAATTTACAGTTTTTGTTTTTTCTGTAAATAGTTTTTAGATCATAAATATAGTATGTAAACTTAAATGAAGATAATTACAATTTTTCGAAATTGTCTTCTAACTTTTATTTTTCATTTGATCCTTTTATTTTTCTTTTTTTACTACATTAAACTGCATTAAATGCTGATATATAGACTCGATGTAAATTCTAATCGAACTATTAAATATTCTTGATGGTCAGTCATTCTATCAAATAGTAGAAGCCGACGTGACACGCATACACACATACTGGAATATTTTTACACAGGAGACTTGTCTCGATTATGCTTAAGTTGGTTATCCTATACAATCGGGAATACTCTCATTCAATATACAAGCTTGAACTTCAAAATGAATAACAATTTTAAAGGATATAGTTTAATGTATTATGTAAAGTATGCAAATAATATTGTATAGAAAATAATAAAAGATAAAACATTCTATAAATATTATGTAACTTATAAATAACTTATTTAATTTATAATTTTGAATACGAATATATGGGCTCAAAAAAGCAAGAAAGAATTAGGTAAAGGACAACGTTAGGTGTACACATAGGTATTTATTCTTCAATATGATTGATGACGCACTGACTTTAAACTCGTCTATTCTCTTGTTGGGCTGATAGTAGAGTGCCCATGATGGATCCTTCTATCATAAACACTGCTTTACGTCGGCACCTACGCACAAAGTACGGTGAACTAAAGTTAGTTAATCAAAGTTTGCACTAAGCTTTAAAATGTCAACGGTTTCACTGAATGCTTTTATGCGTGTCGTTATATAGGTTTGTGCGTGTGTCCGTGCGTGTGTCCGTGTGTGCGTGTGCGCGTGTGTACATTTTTTGTTTTATTAGGTAAGTTCAAAGTTTTTTTTATAAAAATATAGAGTATTAATTTATTTCAAAATTGTCTTATATACGTATTTATTATATTGTCTTATATGCGTATTTATTTATTATACATTTGATACACTATATTAGTACGTATATTTATTTAATATAATAATATGGAACTATATTTTTAACTCAAGTCACTTAAAATTAATTACTGTCATACAAATAAATAATTGTTATACAGACTTTTTAGGAAAATGATTTATATAATTAAATGATTTATATAATTAAATGGCACTGATATATAACTAACTGAAATTAATAATTCACCTTACAACCATCATATACGTAATTTATACAAATAAATACTTTAATAATTTTTAATTATGTAGAATAAAAATTACAACATATAAATCTAGCTACATTTAATTATTCTGTAATATATTTTATGCATAGGCTGTATTGGATTTCGCGTGAATCGTATAATAGTTAATTATCACATAAACGTTTATCGATCTTTATTCAAGGCTTTACCATCGGAAACACATGTCTACGCTTTCACGTTTATGTACTTTAACATTTCACTTGACTCTAAAATATTACGTTTCCTAGCATTTACTGCCGACCATAATCTTTAACAGTAATAGATAGGAATCCGAGAACTTGTCTCTCTACTTTGAAGAATATAAATTAATTGAAAACTCTACATTGAATTGAATTCAATTTTCATTGCATAAATTGATTTGAACATCATATTTGTAACAACAATATCTCAACTCCTCATCTCTGTTTTCAAACATTTAGATACAAGAAAATATTTAATGTTTGATTTGTGAACTAAATGTAAGAGCAACCGATATTGTCAAAATTAAAGGAAATATAAATTAAATTACATTCTTGTATAATATTTAATGTAATAGAGTTATTTTTATATTCAAGTCTTGTTATATATATATATATATATATATATATATATATATATGTATGTATGTACGCGCGCGTGTGTGTGTGTGTTACTGTAAGAATAAACATTAAATATATTTATTTATCTTATTTGTCTATTTATTTATTTCAAAACACCAGGAGTAAATTCATTATTTTTTTTTATCAAATATTTATTCATTTTTATTGTTTGAAAATATAACATTATAAAAAACAAAATACCTTGTATAAACAAAATTTTTTTTTCAAATTATCGTAAATAATGTTATTGGTTTTAATGACGAAACAGGTATTTAAAAATTTCTATTTAAGTCTGAAAGTATAAAAGTTAATCCAGAAATTCACTTATTAGCGAACAAGTGTTAAGTAATACGAGAACGAAAGCTACTCTTAAGATCAATATTAATAGAACTTAAGTTTGTTTTCGTATCCAAAAACTTTATGAATGTGATCTTAATTTTTTATTTGTACACGTGTAGTTGAACTTAAAGACAATTATGAAAATATTACAAATACTCTACTTCATTCCATCTAAGTATTTTTAAAAGTATAAACATAATATATTATAATATAATATAAATTAATAAATAGTATTAATACATCT